TCTGGTCTAAGTGGTGCTGCTTTGTATGTGTAAGTATGGCTTCACTTTTCTCAAATGAAAGTGCCAGCATCAGCAGTGGAGCAGATGTTGAGACATGCAATAAAATAGCATAAACTGGCAGCCCTGTGCCTAATGCTCATGTGAAATGCCCAGTGCACTTTTGTGGTTTCCCTTCTTATTATGCAGGCCCAAACTTTGAAGATTAGACAAATGTGTGAAGGGACCTTTAAAATATGTGATTACTCTCTTTTGTTCATTATCTGGACTTGAGAGCCTTATAGTGTGGGACTTTCTTCTTCCACTTTAGCCACATGGGGAAGCTATAGAGAACTACTCTATACTGGTAGAGTGTTAAATTGGTGACTTTAAATTGGTTGGGATTGCCAATTAATTACAGATTAATGGGGGCAGCTTGCAAAATGGTAAATGATAAACTTGGAGTTACTATAGAGTAAGAGATCTAATGAGTAATCTAAGTGAATGAAAGCACATTCCTTACTAAGAAGCTAAGAACAAACTTTCTATTTAAGTAGCCTGGATAATTACTCAGTTCTTTCAGCCTTTTGAGGTGTCACGTTGTTCCCGTTACTTGCCACAGTGTTAAAATTTGGCTAGGAGAAAGCTACATGGTGGACTGCTGTTGCAATGCCTGCTGGTTTTGTGCCTTTTCTGAAAAGCGTTGATAGTGTATCAGAACAACTGAATTTCAACAGTGTCAGTGTGCCCTGTGTAGCTGGAGTGGCCGCCCACAGGAGCTGTCAGGGCAGCACTAGTATGTGTTGGAAGTGTATTCATGCTGGAGTGTTTGCGTATCACAGAAGACTACATAACCCCTTTTTCTCCCCAGTTTCTAAGTGAAGAGACAGCAGAGGAAAGGAGCATGGGTGGAGTCTTTTCATAACCATCCCAAACAGAACAGCTCCTCCTCTTTCCTTCTGGCTGGAAGTACCACGTGCTGCACATCGGCAAGCTTTGGAAGAGGGTGGGCTTGACTGGGCTCTCCCGGGAGTTGGTACTGTTCTAGTCCTCCTCTACAGACTTTCTTCCAGCTAGTGGTGTTTGTCCTGTAGTCCAAATTTGAAGTACTGAAAAGTTGAAGATTTGACCAATGATCACAATGGATTTGAGGAGAGATTATGATGATTGTGCACAAGATCATTGGTCTCTTTTTTGGCTTGTCTAAACTTCTCTCTAGAAAGTAGGAGCTATACTTAGGAATAATGAGACAGTATTTAGCTTGATGATTATGTGCTCCTTTTTTCCCCTAACAGCATTCTGCTTAATTTCAGCATACAGGATGATCCATAAGGGGATAGAATTATGGCTGCACGAGCAAGTTCAAATCTGCTATTTCATAATTTGTGAATGGCTACATTTTTTCAAATCCAAATACTTTTTCTGGGATGGAGGGGTTTCCCTTTTTTTTTTTAATGTGATGTATTTGAAAACTTTACTGTAGATCCCTCCGTAAAAAGATGCAAAATTCAGTGTCCGCTCTTCCTTGAAGTAAAAAGCTGTATCTTTTGTACCTCTTTACTTTTCTGGGTCTGGCATGGGAATGTTTAGATATAGGAATGAACTGGGAATCTGCAGTGTTAATATAATACATATCAAATGTACTTGACTTGTTAAGGAAATGAATTTGCAGTTTGTTTTCTTTGTAGCATCTCTGCATTCATAAGATTTTGACAAACGTAATTTTTTTTAACAAAAAAAAGGAAGTGTTTCCTATTCACTATGGAGAGCCAAATAAACGAATACTCTATCAAGATATCGTCTTAAATAAAAGTGGGATTAGGGATGTTCAGTTATGGGAAAATCCCTCCAATTTTGTTCAGCCTGGGACCTCTCCTGCAAGAGATTTTTCTGGGCTTCCCCTTCAGAAGTGCAGGTTGCTGGATTTCTGAAGGAAGCAATTCTGACATGCATGGCCAATAAAACTTTCTGAATGCAGTGTGTGGAGCTGGTTAAAATTCTCACTGAGGTTGAAACAAAACCAGTGGTCAGACTTGTCAGGCTGCTATCCTGGGGAGCCTACCCTAGTTTCAGTTCTTGGAGAAATGTGACTTGCAGTGGTAGAGATGAGCAATCGCATCATGTTCATGCTGATCCTCAGGGTGCTATCAGTGGTGTTAATCACAAAAGAGATTTGGCTGGTCTCATTCACAAGAGCTAAATCTAGCTACCTCCAAATCACACTTCTTTCTCTTTGAAAGCTTTTTGGGTAATGTCTGGTTACTCCTATTTCAGATGATTCCCTCTTTCCCTGTTTTTCTCAGTAGGTCTAGGAGCTCCTTAGGATTGCCCAGTAGGAACCTTAGTAGCCATTATTTGCATATGAACTTTAGAGCATGTAAGTATATTTATAGACTGAAAGAAGAACATTACTGAACAGAGGAAACAACATTCCGTTTCCTGATGTGTACTAGATTCAGAATAAAACAATAAAAAGCTCCAGCGTGTTGTAGAAGGAGAAAAAAACACACAAAGCCCTTTTCATTTTCACCCCTTCCCCAGTCTGTTCCACGTTTTCAGGTTGGATGCTTACTGCAGTTGAATATTGCCAAGGGTGAGGTGTCAACACATTGTCTTTGATTTGAGTGTTTCTGACCTTAAGGCTTTCTCCACCATACTGTTTATTCCTGTGGCTGTGCCCCTAGTGCACTGCCCTACCTGCTCAGTTTTGCCGACATAGCTATTCTTGGAGCTGTACTGTGACCTGCATCATGGAAGCCATCCTGCAGGATGCAGTGCAGGAAAAGGAAGATAATGCCAACTCAGTTTCCTGGTCCAGCTCTCAGTCATGGCCTGTGTTGCAGATGCATGGCTATGGTATGGGCAGAGGAAGGAGCTGGGCAAGACTATGCAAAACCTGCTGTCTGGCAAATGGTTGTGTTTCCTCAAGTGAGGCCTATTGCATTTGCTTTGAATGCAAACTGGGTCTGAGCTGCTGTTGAGGGACTGTGTGGAAGAATCGTTAGTTAGCAGAACATGTCAGAATTGGGTTTGTAGCTACTTGTAAGTACGTAATCTAGAGGTTTCAGTTAGTGCCTATATTTTGTACAGGGGCTTACAGCTTCATGATAATACTCCTCAGAATGTGAGCAAATGCAACAAATGCCTCCAAACTGGGTGGTTTTAAATTCAACTCCATTAGGGCACAAGTTAGTAGAAACTTCAGTGCAAAAGGCTTAAATTGAACCATCTTCCTACTCCCTAACCCCGGTTGCACCCACTGCATTGTGAGATGTATTTTGTAAGACTGCTTAACTCAATGATAAGAGTCATGATTTTCATGCGCAAGTGGAGTACAAATGATTTTTAAGGTTGTTCTTGGGGTTTTGTTTTGGTTTTGCTTTTTGTTTAGCTTGGAATGTATGTACAAACATGCTATGATTTAAGCTATGTTTTCCAAACTGGGTTCTATGTTTTGTGTTGTTTAAGCTGGACTTTATCTCCTTATTAGCAAGTTACAGCCAAAGTGTGGTGGCTGACAATAGAAGGTTTATCTAAACATTAACAAATTAACTGGGGCAGGATGTGTGCTGGGCAAGGGCAGCAGCAGGAACCTTTGCTCAGCTAGAGCGCATGACCAAACTTCTCAGCCTGCATGGTTCTGAGCATAACCTGTGAGCTGTGAAGCAGTTGCTTGCTGATGTCCCCACAGGGGAGGGGGTGAAAGAAACTGTAAGCAAAGGATATCCTCAAAAGCTTTGAGGAACGCTGGCGTGTGTAATACCTGTGCAAAGAACAGAGGAAAGCTGAGGGGATTGCGAGGCCAGTACAGCACTTTTCAAGCCCTTTGAAGGAGCTCAGTGAACTGGGTGCAGCTTACTTTGTCTCCTGCAGAGGAGTGAAGAGCTGAGTCAGCTTTGTTGAGATCTGAACTGCGATCCCCCACATTTTAAGCTGAGTTACGGGGCTGCAAACCTGACTCTGTACAGAAATCCAGCTGCAGAAATACAGTTCCCAGCAGATCGTGCTGTCCTCTTGATACATACAAGACACTATGTCAGTCATTTAGTCCAGTGGGTGTTTCTGGGCTTTATACCACTTCAAAGCTTGCATTAGAAACCTTTTGGGACTATTGTTTCCTTTCTGTCATATCTCCTTTTCAAACTCATTCTGTTTAACTTTGGAAACTGTGCTCCTTCTACAGCCATCTCACCTTGAAAACACACCATAGAACAAACAGAATTACTGAATTCTCCCAGAACCAGCACTGCTCCTACTCACATGGCAACTCGGTATTCACCGTGTGCTCTCTGATCTCACTTCCAAGAAGGGAAGGAGGGTGGGGGGTGTAATTTCAAAACAACCCCCTGGAACTGTTAACTAATTCCCTTGGATGAGACCATGAGAGATGAAGCGTTTTGTCTACCAAACACTTAGTAGGATAGGTGTGGAAAGGACTGTATGGAAGAATTTCCACTTGGGTGGGGGTGGAATACCCAAAGGTTGGCCTCTCTACCTTCTGCCCATCTCTGTTGGTAGGGATGAGAGCCACATCACTGTTCTTTGCCTAAACTAAATCCTACAGGAATGCCAGTGAGATACGTGCAGAAGAATAAAATCTCCGTGCTCTAACTTTCCTGATGGAAGTTGGAAGTGGTTTATGCTGCTACAGAAGTTGGGATTTTTTTTTTTTTTTAAGGAAGTTTTGAATGTAACAAATGAGGTGGAGTGAATAGAAAGAATAAGTTTCTGCCAAATACCAGTATACGGTAAGACGTCTCTGTTGCTTGCATTAAGCCTAGAAAGAAGCATGAATCATAGTAATCCATTTAGGATATAGATATACACAGCCTATTACATCTGTTTTGAAGGTTTTGGTTGTGCTGCCCTCTTACTGTACATATCAACTATTTGTCTTTTTAATTCATTAGATCAGCTAACACATTAGTTATCTGCACCAGAATTTACTCACTTTTTGCCACTTTTTCTCTCTGGAAGGCTCCACTGAGTCCTTTGGAGACTTGACTCCCTCTATCTCCTTCCAGGTCCCACGTTATTCGTCCCACCTTTGTGAGCACCTTATGTCATGGTAACAGTCCCTTCTGCTGAGGCGGGTTGGACTCTGCTCCCTGTGGAGCTATCAGAAGAGCTGGCTGCAACTTTCTCCTTCAGTCCTGGTGGTGAGGAATGTTATCTGTAGAGCTGCCAGCTCCAGCAGGTCTGGCTTATCGGTCAGATGGTGTTGAATTGTAAAGCAAAATCCTGTCCACATGTGAATGTATTTCCAGCGTGAGAAAAAAATCCCACATTTGGGCTGTGTTCTGGAGAGGCAAATATTTCATATCCTACATGAAAGAACTTTAGTGTTGCTGGCCCTACTGTTGTGACTTCAGTTCCCTCAAAATCTAGAGATTAATTTAAAATAAAAGATTATTTTTTTTTTAAATCCAGCTGTATGTTTTTGTCATTGTTTTGCTTTCTAAACCCCCTCTGGGAAGGGGAGGGATTGTGTGTGTTAGCACTGTGCTGTCTCCCAGAGAAATGGTGAGGTTTTTAGTAAGAAATTCCCATCTCTACATCTGTTTGCCTGTCCTCTGAGGCCAATTCCCATCGGTTTTATTCCCATTTCCTAATTTGGCTGTATCCCTATTTACCTTCTATTCTTCAGGCCTGCAAATGCAGTTCTAGCAGGATTCTCAATTTCCTGAGTCTCACAAGAGAGGTGCACAGGACCTTTACCATTTTCTCAGGCCGAGTGCTTAAAACAATTGATTTGGGTAAAGTTCTTCACTAAAAATTGGGGTTTCTTTTAAAGTGTTGTAAAATGTCAACCCCAAATGAGCTATCAGGGAGCTGCCATTGCGAAACAAGGCTGGTATTTATTCCTTAGTTTTGTGGTGCTGGTAGGTGTAACAATTGCTATCATGAGGCTGTCAGAGGTGCAGATTCACCAAATCCCTTCAGTGTATAATTTAAACACGTATAATTTTAGGCAAATGTTTTAGTATTTTGCTACCTTAGCAAATAGGATAAGATGAATAATTCAAGAACTGCAAGGGCCAGAAAAGAGACTCCCATTGATACCGAATGGATGTTGAATCAAGTCTCTGCTGTGTCAGGGAAAGTTTATCTGAGAAAAGTTTGCTGTGTAGTCTGACGTTAGCAGTATCACAACATTACAGATGAATGGAGCGTGTATGTTTTTGTCTGTTTTAAAGTTGGTCATTTCTTCGTATGAATAATTAGATTGCTTTTGGCTGACTTACTTACCTGAGGAGGGTGATCACAGCGTAGGCCCTTTCTTTTTGCATACCCAGGCACATCATCTGGAAAATGTGAGAAAGCCCTGGCCATGCTTTACAAGACAGGAAATAAAGCCTTGGAAATGGCTCTACAAAAGAAGTAAGTTCAATGTTATTATTCAGTATCAAGTGATTGTTAAGGGTCATGCTCTTGCTACATTCATATGTCTCCACTGTAAATACTTGACCAATACTAACAGTTCAGCCTGGGACTTCAGTATAAAGTTTGGTATGAGAAGCTTTTTCCATTACAATGATTTTTATTTTTATTTTTGGTATTAGTGTTAGTGACAATCTAATTTGCTAGTGACTGTTTCTGTTTAACAGTATGCTTTTATGTTACTTTTACAAATTATTTAGCATATAGTCTTGACAGTGGCTCTACAAAGTCTCTCATGATACCTTTTTCTAAGAAATTTTGTTTCTTAAATGCTATTCTCCAGTTTATATTTTTACAGCTACCAAAACTTGCACATCAGCAGTTTCCATTCTCACAGCTTGTCCTCTCCCATTCCAGTTGCCGTGCACTGAGACGCATAAAACACAAGTGGAGATTTTGCCACAAGCAAACGCGGTGCCTTTTTCAAATGTGTTCATGGGTTTTGATGATCAAAATACTATCTGGATACCAGCCCATCTGGAATGTTAGACAACATGAATTAATTCTTGGAAGAGCTTTTCTAGCAAAGGCAGTCAGGAGCACAGTTCCAACCAGAAAATGGACAAACCCCTGAACCCTGTTGACAGAGCTTTCTTTGAAAATCTGCTCCCCACTCTGATCTTGGATATCTTTCTCAAAAGTCTAGTGGTTTAAAGCAAGACCTGCATTCTTGCAGAAGTATGTATATGAGCAGATGTCCGTGTGTAAATGCACTGTAACTTTACAGCTTCCCTACTATGAACAGCAAACATCAATGCAGCCGTTTGGAGTTCTTTCAACCGTGTTTTAGATAACTTTGTTTTGCTTCTCACAGAGAACTAATCTTGGAAGGCTAGAACTTCTGTGCAGAGCAGTTGGAATTAATTATATACTGGAACCAGAGCTGATTTGGTTGCATCCTCCAACATGACCAATCCTCAGTAAGTACTATGTGAGGATAGTTACAATTTACCTTAAATAAAAGGGAATAGGTTGCTACTTGTAGGAGAATGATGTTGTGACATCACAAGGGTTCTATCAATATTACTGGAAGGAGAAGTTGCTATTTTGAGGAGGTGTAGGATATGATCAGTTGTTTAAAGAGTGAATTGGCAGAAAAGTCGTGAATGCTGCAAACATGTCTGATGTGTTATTAACAGCCAGTGGCTGGGAACTACTATGTCATGTTACTGTCGGATGTTTGCCTTTTTTCTTTACTGCCACCAGACCTTGTCCCAAAACTGTTTCCAGCTCAAGTGTGTTGATTTGGTTTGTTTTTCTTTTCCGTCAGATCAGACACTGTCTGTCATTTAGTCTGTCTAAGGATGCAGAATCTAAATACTTTTGGGAGAGGGAAGGCTGCACCAACCCTTTTTCCTTTATAATACTGGAAATTGGTTCATTGTATTCTCTTCTGTGCAAAACTGAACCCGCTTGGACTTGTAAGAGTAAATGTCCACAGGATGGCACTAAAGGTGAAAATCAAAGAAAGAAAATTCCTGCTAAAATTAGCTCTTCCCTCTGGGCTTCTGATTCAGGTTGTTGACAGAGCAATACTGTTCTGTTGGAAATGAATCTATTTACTTTCCATTATTAGTTAGACTAACAAGAACATAAAGTAAGCCTTTAGGTTGTTCAAATAGTACTTTTTTCTACCTCTACTTTCTGCCATAGTATGACCCAGTTGCAGCATTTCCCTGCCAAATATAGCAGCGTTTTGTGATTTTTAAAATTACTTTCTTGTGTAATGCTGGCAGCAGTTAGCTCCTTTGAATTTAGGAATCATGTTTTCTGCCCCAGAGGGTTAGTCTAATGGTGAGGCTCTGACCAACAGAATCTGTAGCTCTTTCACATAGAATTTTAGTTCCTTCACCCACAGCTTTAGACTTACAAGTTGTACGAGTTAAGAAATTCTGTACATTTTTTATTTTTTTTATTTTTTTTTTATTTTTTGGGGGGAAAAACCCCCACACCAAAATAGCTGTTAATCAGGTTTCTTTAATAGCTGGAAGATTTTAATAAGCTTCTCTAAACCAAAATCATCAATATAACTTCTCCAGTCATATAACAGAGGGAAGTTAGTGCCAGGAACTTTTTCAGTATAGCCTTAAGGAAAGAGAGTATCTTCGCTCCTGCTGCAGAAAACCTGAGACAAGTAGCCTTAGATTTCTTTAGAAGTTAGCAAGCTCTCCTGGATGAAAGCTGGAGAAGTTTATGCTTGCACCTACTGTGAATCAAATGGAGCTAGCAGCTTGACATGCAAGCTGTCTCCTATAACAAAGCCATCCTTCACATGCACTAGATAATAAGTTGCCATCCGTCAAAACTATTTTAATATTGACCCACAGTGGAAGAGGGGTCAAACTGCATCCACTAATGAACAGTTGCTTTGTATGAAATGATTAATAAGCTGAGCTGCTCATTGCTCACTGATGTAACTCACAGAGCAGTGAGGATTTAGTTGGCACAGTTACATGCCAGCCTTCTGTTTTGCACAAATATTTTATTTGGATTCATGAAGACAAATGTGGAGAGATTTGGTTTGTCCTCTCAATGAGGACACCTTCCTCCGTGTCTTGGCAAAGGCCTTTTAAGTTGCTGGCTTTTAAGGATTCTGCGAGTTGTTGTTCTAAGTTATTTTTATTTGCTTGCTTATTTACATTCATTTATATTTATATCTGTGGAGAGAGAGAGGGTTGGTTTTATTTTGCCTATTACATTTTCAGGTCTACAATAGAAGGTGGTGTTTCGGAAGTTGAAATAATTTCACAACAAGTAGAAGAAGAGACCAAAAGCATTGCCCCTGTACAGCTTGTCAATTTTGCTTATCGAGATCTACCTTTAGCTGCACTTGATCTGTCTGTGGCTGGGTCCCAGCTTCTGTCAAATTTGGATGAGGAGTACCAAAGAGAAGGGTAAGTACAAATGACGTGATTTTGTTTCATAGTTTTATGTTATGTGAATTTCATGGCTTTGTACAAAAGAAAACCTTGAGCTGGAGAGGTGCAGCCAGTTGTCCTCAAACTCTTCCGTCCTGTTACAACAGTTTTAAGAAGAGAACTTTTCTAATCTAACTAATTGTGCTGGTTTGGGGCTCTTTACACTTTTAAGTGATTCATAGTTGCTATTTGATCACAGTCTGGAAGTCTTCAGGGAAAACTAGAGCAGGCATCTACCCACCTGGCAGGCAGAATGGCCTGCTGAAGGCCCTTTGTGAAAAGGGTTTTCAGGGGGAATTGCAGGCTGACCGAGTTGGCTACTGTGGTTCTTGCACATAGTTGCGCATCTCTTGACTGAGAGATAATGACATAGTACTGCTGATTCCTGGACAGACTGTATACTTTTCACAGAGTGATTTGAATAGCTTGCTTGTGTGAGAATGTTGTCTTTGATAATGTGTATGCAAACTACTCCTGTTTTCACAGAACAAGTAACTGTATTTAACATGAAGAAGAGACTTTCAGGGGGTCTTGTAAGAGACTGTTTTCCTCACCAGAAAAAGAATAGTATATTACTGATCTCCATGGTGTTTAGGACAAGAAGAAGCTTGAATTGCAGCAAAAGAGAAAAATGAGGGTAGTGAAGTGCTGGGATAGACAAACTGGTATGGGAGGAGGGGAATGGAGTTGCAGTTGCTAGGTGTTGTGAAGATGTGTTTGTCAGGAATGATAACACTCTAGTTTAACATCCCTTGGGACAGAGGTGAGGTGAGTGCTTATGCCTAGCCCCTCTGATTCTGTGATTACTGTGCCACTGTGTGTCACACACTGAATGTATATATATTCCACTGTTAGTAAGATCCGTCTAAAAGCATTTCACAGTAAGTCAAATAGAGCTCTCACTGGTGAAGACATTAGGCTTTATGTAAGCCTTCATTTATTAACAGCTCAATGGGTTTTCACCTGTGCTCAGAAATCAGCAGAGAGACCTGCTTGATCTCTGCTCAGCAGGTATTCTGTATGGTAGTCAGGAAGCAGTATGTGGGGGAAGGCTCTTGCCTTTAATTTCTTTCCAAATTGGACTTTATGAGACATCTCCAGAAAGTTGTTCCTCCAAACAAGGGGAAATACATTTCAAGTAGGTTATATAAGTATGGTACAACTGTAACATAAAATACCCTGCATAGCAAAGAGGTACTTAAAAATTAATTTGAGTATGCAGGTGTAACCCTCAGGCTATTTTGGTGCTGAGTAAATACCAGTTTAGTTCAGATATGCATTTTTATAGATTTTCATGATCTGAAACTCAATTCTTCACTGTGCCAAAGTGCACAGATCACTCATTGTAACCATTTGAGCAGCTTTGCAGTCTTTAGCAGGAAAATAGACGTGTCATTCTTCTCCTCATCAGAGATCTCTTCCTTCACATAGACTGCTTTTGTGGCTTTATCAGTCTGAACGGAAATAAGCAGGTGCCATTCAGATATCCCAGCTGTAGAGTGGATTCTCTGAAGAAAATTCTGAGCTTTGGTTTGTATGTCTCAATGCATTTTGGCTGAGTGTGTTCAGCTCAGTCCCAGGATTACATCTGCCTTGTGGGAATGGCAGCTGCTTCCTTTCAGAAGCATGTAGCACAACTGATGCCTTGTGAAGTTCAGGAGCAGAACTCAGCTCAAGAAGCCTAGCAGTGAAAGTAAAATACTGTCTCCATACCACCTCATGGCTCTGTTGGGAATATGTCTGATTTTATGAATGTGGTTTAATTTTTTTTCTTATGGCCTTGCTAGATATTAAATCTTAGCCTTGTTAGATGGCTTTCACCAGAGTAACAAGGAGGTAGGATGTGTCACATCAGTTTGGTACAGGAACTGACAATTTACATCTCCCTCATGTGCAAAGAGTGTTGTGTGGAAAGGGCAGCACAGGACGGGGCAGAAAATATTGAAGTCCCTGTAGTTTCTGCCAGCATTCATGTTCATAACTGTGAAGTTATGGACTTCAGTTCATGAAATTATGGCCCTGTTACCCCAAAGCTGCCCTGCAGGTTGCCAGTGGGGGTATCAAAAGATGCTGCCAATGCCAGAGAGTACTAAAAGGTGATGTGAGACTCCTCTTCCCATCCCTGACAATCTGTCTTTGTTGTAGACTCCAGGCGTAACATTCTGTATGCTTTTCCCTGAGAATTTCAGGAAGGTGCCAACCTGTATGACCTGCACATATCCTGTGTGGTTCTGTTGTTCTAGATCTACAGCTTATCTATGCAAGTTGTAGTTGGTGTAACTCTGAGGCTCTGCAGCAGGAAGGTCTGGTGCATCCCTGCACTTGGAAAATGCTGGGTGGTTGTGACAAGCTGCATCTGTCCCTGACCTTTTGATTTTCAGCATAATGGTGCGCAGTCCCTAGTTCCTGATATAGGTTGTAGCATTTCATCACTAGTCAGTCTTCATCTCCTTGCATAGAGCAACAAGAGAGACATCAGACTAGAGGTGAATGAGTGGGCAATAAAGGATTTCTGCATCTGGCTCTCTTCTTCCCTGCAGTGAGGCTGATGTGCCTGATGTTAACTGAGCTGTGTATCTTTCTCTGCAGAAGAGGAAATGTTCTGATAAATTACACTAATAATGTAACTAGAACATTTTGTTTTATGTGACTATAGCAATTTCTATTTATAAAGGTATGGCCCTTCGACTCTGTAGCAATGTGAAGAAATAGTAGTTTGGTTCTCAGAACCACAATAAGAATGATGTTCATTGTTACTTATTAGTCCTGCTGATCTGCCCTACAGTTAACTTCTTAGAATCCTCTTGCTGTGCACTGCACCCCATGCTTAGACATTGCAGAAATGATTGAGGCATAGGCTGGAGGCACGTAGATAAAAAAACGTGCCTTGGATGCCATGGAGGACACATGGTGTACACTTCTGACATCTCTGTTAGAGAGTAGGTGAGACTGGTATACAAAAAGCAACAGGACAGTTGCTGATTTTCTTCGTGTCTGCGAATTTATTGAAGAGGCTGTATCTGAGTTGAATTTGGCATTCATGAAAAGAATAAGTAAACCTTTTTTTTAAGGAGACTAATCACCCAGAAAGCTCAGGGGATTTTTAAATGTTAACATCAGCTTTAAGTGCCACTCTCAATTTCTTTTTTCCAGTCAAGTGTTCTGTTTTCAAAAGAAAAAAATAGTTTCCCTCTTCTGTTTTTGCATCAATGACTAATAAATGTGATGGGGAGTAATTGGAAAATTGATAACATGCAGAAAGTGGTACCTGTGTCCTAACAACAAGCGGGGATACGGAGAAGCTCTCCTTCCTGTACTTTCCTTAAATTCCAATTGGAGGGAGCAATCATTCATGATAGATATCAACTGCAATAGAAGAGTTTACAGACTGTGAGCCTGTCTCTCCAAGACCTGTTGGTTGGGAAGCAAGGGGAGAGATATACCCCAACTTGAAATTATTTCTTGTATTTGTTTTAGATTGCATCTCTTGAACTTCTGTATGTTAAATCTGAAACATGAAGGTCCTTTCAAATACTGTTTTACATCAACAGCCGTAAAGGTTGGGGGTTCATACAGTTAATGTGTCTTACTTGCCATTAGCTGTATATAATTGTGCCATTGTAATTTGATAATTGATGATAATCTGTTCATTGCCTTGAATTTGTTTGGTTGCAGCTAGAAAGTGGATTAAACAGGAGGAAACTAAGAAGAAAACTATAGGGTATAGAGGGGTATAGAGAAAGAGGGATTAAAGGAAGGGAAACCAAAACTGAACAGAGATTCAGAAAAGAACACAGGGAGAGTTTTCTGTTTTTAATTTTAAATTGGTTGCAAACCTTCACTAATGAATGTGTTTACCCATCCTGGGAGAAAAGGATGTCTGTTCCTTCAGTCTGTCTTCTGCAGCTGCACCAAATAGATGCCACTATTTCTGGGTTTCATATTCATCTTTCAGTTTTCATTTTGATTTCTTGGAGGTATTTTACTTGTGTTGCCTACAAAGCTTAAGGTACTTTAACTGAAAGAACTCAAATAGACGAAGTTCTTGCATTTCTCTTCTGCTTTTTCTTTATCTGGCAGCATAATTAAAGTCCCTTTTCTGAAAAATTCTGAGTGCATGGTGCTGATACACGGTGAATAATGAGGTCCAAGCTCAAGATAAAGTGCAAAGTTTTTGGAGGACAGAACTATTTCATGTAGTGAGCCAAGCTCCTTGTATTTACAGAAGTGACTTTTAATTTATTTGTAGCTGAATCCAGAAAGATAGTGCAAAATATTAACAGCAGAATCCAGTGAATGAGACTATAGTGCTGATTTGTTCTTTGTGCAGTACTACATCACAGCTATTTTCTGTGCTGTGGTCCAAAACTAAGACCTGCACTGCAGCAGAAAATGAGCATTCAGCTTGACAGAACCTGTGAGGTGACCAGCTCTTCACTAGAGAATGCATGACATTTTGGGCTATGTTACAAGGATGTTCAGTGATTTAGAAACTTTTGTACAGAGCATTTTAAGTGCTTATCTTTGTAAATGTTGTTTTCCAGAATATCTCATTACTGTGTTTATCCTAGTACCTAAATCCTTTGAGTTTGTCCCTCTAATGTCTTTTATCAGTAATAGCAATTGGTAGAGGGAGCACTGCTATGAGTAAAAAAAAATATTCATTTTCTAGCTCAGCGATTTGCAGACTCTTTTGGTTTGTAGATATTTCTGTATTTTTCCAACAGAACTTGCTTTTCCTAAGTACTTTCCGTTGGTAGATGTGTAGTAGTTGTAGCCCGTGGACGACTGTTTGCAAAGCCCTTTATTTGAGATTGGAAATGACGTGGTTCTGATTTATCTGCCTTAACGCTGGAATTAATTTTCTAAGAGTAGGTATGGCTTGGTGTAAAGCTTGAAAGATGGATAAGCAAATGGACAAAGGAAAAATGTGGAAAAGAGACATATTAGTTCATGAAAAGGTCAGCTAAATGCTGAGCAGCGGTCCAAAAGCAAATCACATGTTAGGACTCATTAGGAAAAAGTAGAGAATAAAAGAGAGGCCATTCTTGTGCCTCTCCAATATCCAGGTTTTGCCTATGTCTTGGACATGAGTGTATTCTGGTCCCTGTGTAAAAGGATATGGTAGATAAAAAGAGCTGGAAAAGAATCTAAGGAGAGCAGTGATCAAAGAGGTGATATGCCTGCCATTGGAGATGACTGTGTAAGCTGGAACTCTTCAGTCTGGAAAAGAGAAGGCTCACATGAGATTTGGTTGATGTGACAAAAATCTGACACAGGTTAAAATAAGGTTTGACATGACATCCTTCTCACACACCTCCTGATACAGGTGCTAGGATACAGATTAAGGCCCAGTTCAAAAGAAACAAGAAAAGGTTGCTCTTTGCACAGGGGGCAGTAGATGTGTGGGACTACTTGAAGGATGTGTGGCTGCTAATAGCTAATTTAGCCTTAAGGGGAGTTCAGCAAGTTTGTGGAAGAGGAATTCATTGGCTGTTATGAAGTAGAATCCAAGAAACCACATCTGTCTCAGGAAGTCACCGAGTTGAAAATGTTTGGATGCTGGGAGAATTTTAAGGGGAAGTTTTATACTTTTGCTGTGCTCTTATTCATCATGAGACATCTGCTCATGGCTGCTATTGGAGACAGAATACTAAGCCTTTTCTTCTGAAGTAGTATGGCTGTTCTTATGTTTCTTATAGGTTGTTTTTGATCATGATGTTAATTTTTCTAATGAGAGGAGTAATATACCAGGTAACCACAGGATATCTGTGAGCAGCGTGGTGTGCATCTGTGAAGAAGGCACAGATGATCCTAGAAAGCACGAAGTACTTCAAATAGAACTGGGAAGCATTCATGTCATTAAACCTATTCCAAAATATTATGTACCATTCTAGCTAGCTATTCACATGCAGAGGGGACTACTAGGACAGTTATAGAAATTGAGTGTTTGCTTCACAGAAAGCATGGGCTTTAATTAAATTACAAGAGTGGATGCTATTGCTGTATATAAATGTATCACGGACAAAATGCCAGCAAGGGAGAAGAACTAATCAAGCTAAAGAACTATATTGGCATAAGAGCAAATGCATGTAAACTGGTGATGTGTGAGTTTAGGCAGAGAACTGGGGGAATCTTGCCATTTGAGCACCAGAGTTTTGCAGCAATCTTCCAAGAAATGCCATGGTGTTTAAAGCAGAAAAACTTCAGGGGGGAAAAGGATGAGAAGAGCTCTCAGTAGCTGACTTCTCTAGTTGAACTAAGAAGTAGGAGAAGCCCAGGAAAGGGCTGCAGAGCTCTCTCTATTCCTTGGAGTTGCTCAAGGCCTCCAGCTGCTCCCTGTAGCCTGCTGTGAGGCTCTGCTGTCTGTTTTGTTTCAGCCAAATTTTGTACTGTTATGTAGCCTTTCTGTGTTCCTGTCACTTCCTGACCATGGCCTTTCTAATCCTTCAGGTAGTGATTTGGATCTCATCCATCCTTCTGTTTTCTGATCATAGCCATCCTGTGAAATGCAAACAGTTGCTGTTTAGCCAAAAGAAAAAAATAAAAAGAAGATGACAGGGTAAGGTATAATGCAGATTTCAGGGTATTTGTTTGCAAAACCAGGAAATAGAAACAGTGACAGCTGTTAACAGCTTGAACAAACTGTTTGTAGTGGTTTCCTACTTGATAAATATGTTAAACCTTTCCCAGTTTTGCCTTATGTTCTTTTATCCAAGCTGTTTATTAATAAAACTAGCAGTGATGATGACAGATTGGTTTTCCACAAAGCCATGTGTGAAAGTATCTTTAAAAATAATTGCCCCTGGTAAAATTCCATTAAATATATTTTTATGATAGAATCATAGCAACTTTACAGCCCTGCGTCACCATCTACCACGGAATTCCCATGCTGCTACATTTATTTACTCCATCCAAGCGTTGTAAGAAAGGCAAATAATATTCCTGCTCTAGAGATAGAGTAACTGAGGTGCCTAATGAACCTGTTTGAAGTCGCACAGTAAAGTTGTTCCAAGTCATACTTTACTTGTACCCATGTAGTGCATGGCATCCACAGATGACACCAAAGTCAGCAGGACTACTGATACTACTGTACTAAGGTTACAGGGTTGAAGGAGATGTGAAGATCTGTGTATTAGGAGTTAGTGTGGTTAGTATGTCAACAGGTTTAGTTAAAATAGTTCCTTTGATTATTTAGGTACATCCTTTGCATGAGGGTAAGAAGTAAAAAGAAAAACCAACCAAAGCAACCCAAAACCAGCAACCCAAAGCAAGATTAGGGCTCTTCAGAAGTGAACAAATAATAGGGAACAAGCTAGCTAAGCAGCACCCAGGAAAGAAACTGTTATTCTTGATATCAGTGGATTCAGAGGACTTAGAGGAGGTCTGGGAAGGGGTCTGCTGGGCAGTGATGCTCATCACTGTCCATTCTCAAGACAAGTGTTGAACAAATAAACCTTGGTGTAATAAATTGAGGTATGAAACAAGGTGGTTTCAGTTCTTAAATTTCAAACACTTGTGTCCTTGAGATCAATTTCTATATTTTATGAGTGATATATAGGTGTAAACATGCAGAGGATCTGCACTTGACCTCTGAAGTTGATTGCTTTTCCAATCATAAACTGATAGTTTTGTTCAGAAGCTTTTTGGAATCAGTGGAATATTAGTACTGCACAGACAGAATAACTCCACATTCTTTAGTATTTTATAAGCTTGAATAATGATTATCGTGGCCATATGTAATGTGTGCTGAGCATCACAGTTGATATATTCTTACTGGTACATTTGGTATATTTGAAAATCTCAACTATGTAGAGCTTCTAAAGGAATGTACTTAGGCCCTCTACTGATCATTCTGGGAATAGGAAAGAGGAAAAACCGCCCAGCAATATTAAAATACTGGCAAAAAGGGCCTTTTTTGGAAAAGGGAAGATAAATGTAGGGAAATGTAGGATAGAATAAAGAGCTGTTCTATTTAAGTAAGGCCATTCACTAGCATTATTTTCAGAAATATCTAAAAAAAAAACCAAACAAAAACCAAAGGACAAAATAACAGTTTCAGTGAAGACAAGTTATTCTGTTTTGAGCTGCTGTAAATTAAAATCTATTGAAAAATCAAGTTTTGCAAAAGGCCCTATGCCAATGGCATTTTTTGCCTTATGTTTTAAAAATACCTATTCAAAATCTAGTGCATTCTGTATTCAGGCTAGAACCATAACGAAATTAAACTTAGGGCAAGTTCCTCATAGTAACACTTGTCAAATCTTCTCTGAAGGCTTCAGAGGAAGGTCTGTTATGGTCAGGTAATGGGACAATCGGAGTACAAGTATTTAGTTCATATGCTTTACCCTGAGAAGCTGCTCAGAAGTGTGAAGTCTCTGAGCACTACTTAGCATCACTTTCCCCCTCATTTTTGCATTGTGGGTGTATCAGGGAAAGTTTTGTGATGTTTTTCCAAGTGTTTGATCATAACATGAGTTACTGAGTCTAGAGCTATTTATTTGGAATTGATCAGTATCATCTTCTTGTGTACCATTGATTTCTGTGTATCGATATTTCAGTTCAGACAGTGTGGTTACCACACCACACTTCCGTGTGCTTGCAGCTTCTTTAAACCCTAGTTAACAAATCGTGTCAGCTCTGTATTAGCTAATGGATATTTACAGATCTTTGGAAATATAAAGTGTGAGGCAAGCATCAGAACTTTCAGAGGTGAGCCAGTACCGGAACATTACATAACTGTGATGAGAAATGATACTGAATTAAAGTGAAACTATGGGGGGGATTTTAGGAGACAAAAAGTACCAGGCTGGGCTGTGTGCTTCTGAAATCCATGCTACTGCCATTCCTATTGCAAATGTTTTCAAAAGAAAAGAAAAAAGAAAACTCGTATGTGCATTTAGCACTATGCTAGTGGAACATTACTGGTGCATCAACTGCCTTCCAGAGGTCTGCTCCTCATAGCCTCCTCACAGATCCCTTCATCTGCTTTTTCCTCTAAAACAATGTGACTTCCTCTAAGCTGGGTATGGGTGCAGTCCCTGGCATATGCTGCCCCCAAAACTGTGCTATCTCAAACTCTGGAAAGTCGTTTTTGGCCTGGGCCATGAAGATTTTAGTGAGAGTGAGACTAAATGGACAAGCGACACAGCCCTGGCCAGTGGCTTGACACTTTGTGTTTGCTGGTGTAGGTGTAGCTGTGGAGTACCTTAGCTCGTTTTCCCATGATGGCGTGGACTGATTCTTGCGAACCACATTTGGCAGCTCTGGTCTGATTTGTTTCCTACTAGTACGGGAATAAAATTCAATAGCAGAGAAATTCTTACAAAACATCATTAGCTTTTAGACTAGTGGCAGAATCCTGCTATGCTGTGGTAGTCCCAGGTCAGAGAAGGCAACATGTATGTCAAAATAAAACCACAGGGAAGTAGTAGGACATGATCAGGCTTGTGTTACTCTGTGCATTTGGATACCAGTACTTCCCAGAGGGCTGGAGATACACACAAAGTCCTCTGGGGCGTGGGTTTTGAGAAGTATTTTTCTTGGTAAAAAGTGAGTTCTGCAAAGTCTCCATAAGTTGTTACTGAGTATATCCGTAACAACAGAACTTGTAATTCTAAGCTCATTGCTCTTTAGCTCTCTGCCTTTTTCACTACTTTTTCTTCTTTTCTTTTCTTGTTTTTCCTCCTAATTTTATTTCCTTAGATCTAACTGGCTAAAACCGTGCTGTGGGAGACGAGCAGCTGTGTGGCAGGTGTTTTTGCTCAGTGCAAGTCTCAACGGTTTCCTGGTAGCCTGTGTAGTATTGGTGGTGATTCTCCTGACTCTGGAACTCCTAATAGATATAAAGCTTCTCCAGTGTGAGTAGGAGGATTTTTATGTTTCTGTTCTGATGAAATAAAGGCTTAACTTGCTGGGAGATGTTTGAAGGGGGGAGGAGGAGGATGCTGGGGATATTTTTTTCCTACCATTTAGATGATTACTAGGCTAGGCAAGAAATATGGTTTTGTGGAACCCTGGTATAGTGAAGTCTATATATACAATAAGGTCTGTTCCTTATTTTGCTGACCCAATTCAGTGCTGGACAAATTTTCAAAGGACTCGAGCTGAGTGTACATGCAGAGATCAGCTCTTGTTATCATTAGTACTTAAAGTCTGTCCTTCACTGACACACTCCGTATACACAGGGGAAAGATCATTTGTGCATCGTTAATGTCTGATACTTTTCACATGCATGTCCATAGGCAGAAATGATGGACTTGCTAGGGTATTTGATGCTTTTTTATTAATCAATTCCTACTGAGGTTGGTAGGAATTGAAATTGCTGTTTTCTATCTTGTAATGCACCCAAATGATATAGAACTTCATTCTACTTTGCTAACACACTGGAAGCCAAATGATAGCTTAGGTGAAGTTTTGCTTTACCTGAATTCACTCTACGCAGGTTCCACAATGGAAATTTTAATGCTGCTGATTTGCTTCCTAATTAGTCTTTGTGTTTCTAGCCCTCTTTTCCTCTATTCCCTTTTTTCTTTTTTTCCTTTTATGACACAAAGCTAACATGAGCACAAATACCTTTTTCTTATGCTAAACACTGAAGGACAGCCTCTAGCATATCTGTAAAATCTCAGATACGCTGAAATGGCAGTGATGGGGTTCAGCCAATCTAATAACTGCAAGAATACATAGCATGAAAGAGGCATGGCCTGGTATCTTCTAGAGCAACTTTAAACTGAGCAAACGATCCTTGTAGTCCGTGGAAGTCCTTTTATTTTTGTGATTTCTCAATTGGTATTAGTGGAGGCCAATTCACGGTAAAGGTTTAGGTATTGCGTTTGGGTTTAGATTACTTTAGGGGACTTCATTGGTAATTGCAGTCATTTTATAAACACGATAAGATAAAGGAATGACTGAGCTGTCTTCCCATGCTGTTGCCACCATTTACACTCCTGCCTGTCCATACTGCACACACTGGTCTGAGCATGGGCACTTAGTTACATTTGTAGTCTGTAGCAACTTGCACTTTGGAGGGGGAAGCCCAGGATTTGGACAAGTCTGTTGCTTTCAAAAAATGTCAGGGATTCCAGTTATGGTTCTAAGTCCTTAAGTGAAGAATTTAAACAGTATTCACTGAGGTGCTACATCTTTATGTAAAGACTTGTCACTACTGTGGAGCCAAAGAGTTTAAATGTTTCTGTTGATTTCTCTTTGATTTCTAACACAGTTTTGGATACTTCCCTTTGGAAGCACCATCTTTCTTACCATTTATTTTCTGAAAAATCTTCTAAAGGCAACTTTATTGTAGGGATCATTCTTCCTCTATGTGCCTAGTGCATGATACTCTTAAAAGCTCTGCATCTTGCACCTTGTATGTGACCTATAGGTGTTTGGTAGAACCAAGTAATTTCACTGTTCAGAGGCTGCCTACACTGATTTTCTCAGCACCTGAGAAAGGACCCATTCCACTCTTGTGTTGCTCCTTTGCATTGTAATGAATTGACCCATCAGGCTTCTTACAGTCATTAAGTTGAATAACTTCTATTTTGTTTTAAATCAGATAAAACCTATTTTGGTGGGGTTGGTACAAGTACTGCAGTTGTGCCATATGAGGAATGGCTGCAACTTACATTAAGATTTTAAAAAGCCATTTAGGCCATACAGTTTTAAATTATTCATTATTCTATATGAAATCAACCAAATGCATTAGGATGTGTTACAGCACATCACTGCCAATTTTGTTCACAGTAACAACTGCTAATCCACATTATAGACTGTAATTACTTAGGAAAACTCCTTTATTTTTACTTTTAATAGTGTTTTTCTTGGCTTTGACATTTTGAGAGCATCATTTTCCTCTCATACTTTTAGTGCAGGTTTTGATTGTGCTGTGCACTTCTCCCATACACAAAACTGTCAGTGTTAGTGATGGAGGCTGAATTTGCAAATGTGTGGATCACACATGAAAAGGACAGAGACCTTTTAGGGTATTTTAGCACAAAGCATATTCATGCCAGAATTAGAAACCCCAGAAAGCAGGGGACATGTAATGGGTCTGTTTTTTATAGGTTTCTGTCTTATAATCACCTTTTTTAGTCCTGTCTTCAAAGCTCTTCATATGCATTAACAAAATAAGGTTTCAATACCTTGTGGTGTTCTGTAAATGCAGAAACAGATGTGTATTATGTCACTTGCACCTCATCTCAGGGGAAAAAAAAGGTTCTGGCATGTTCCAGTCCCCGCTGTCAGAAATACAGACCATGCTGCCCCTTCCTCATCTTCAGTAGTTTCAGGGAAAGCAACTCAGAAAATCATCCTGCCATCACCTTCAGGTCTTCCTGAAAACTGTGAAGCTGAAAGGCTCTGCTCCTGTCCATTTGGTTGCTGGATTGAAGCCCTGTCTGACTACAGGCCAAGCTGTGCAAAGAAGATGCACCTTGTAGCGCAGCAGTGCCTCAGTGGCAGTGGGTTCAGGGCTTGCCCGAACCGTGTAGGGAGCATCTGCTATCTGATCCTTGCAGAAGCAGTAGAGTTTGTATCTCTCAGCAAGTCATCCTCAAGAACAATATTCAAGTGCTGATGGTGCAAGCTTCTGTAATGGCCACTCAGGGTTTGTCAGGCTGTGCTCTTCAACCCTTCCCTCCTGGATATCCACTTTGAAGAGATGGGAAGGCAAGGGAAAGGGTGAGGAGGAAGATTGAGGTTGGCTGTACTCTGCATTTTATGCTGAATCATCTTCTTCAAGACTAAAAAGCATCTGGATTTGCAACCACTTCTTCCCCATAGCACCTGACAATTAAAATGTGAAATTAAGCACAACTTTTTGGTTTTTAGTTACAATTTTTTATATATATATTTTTTTTTCCTGGGGTATGTGGGGGTGGGTGGGTAAAGGGGGAGAAGTTACAAGTTCAACAAGTATGAAATTCTGTCCCAGATGAAAGTAGAAGCCGAACAGCTTATGTGCTTTGTCTCAAATCGAATCCCAGTGATGTATCCTAACCACCACAGAGCAGGGATGAGCACCTGTTGGAGAAGACTTGTTTTTTGTAACTTTTGACTGCATATTTGGAAGGGAGTGTCTTGGAAGAGGCAGATATCCAGGGTCAGTGTATGGGCTGGTGATTCAGCTCTTGTACAAAAGCTTCTTGCTTGGAAGGCATTTTCAGATTGACTGTTTTACTGGCAATGTAACTGCATGCTGTCTGGCAGCACGTCCACGACTCTGCTGCAGTAACTTCAAGCGTCAGAAGATGAGTTTCTGTCCAAATTCGTGGTTGTTGTATCTTTTTTTGTCCACTAAGGGGCAGCTGGAGCCTTGTATGTCAGTCGAGAGCTGGTTGAAAAATCCTTTGTGAATGGTTTCCATTTCTTGTTCTTTATGCAACCCTATAAAGACAGCGTCTTGGGAATATATTTTGCCCATTTGCTTCATCTTTAGGTAGCTCCTCTGCTGTACCACAGCAAACCCTCTCTTGTGAAGCCCCAGGTGAGCTTCAGCTGTGGCAGATGAGTTTTCTTTGTATCCTGCTTTCTTACCTTATCCCTTCCCCCCCTTCCCATTTTAAGCAGTTTTAGTTTTAAAATAAGTGCTTTATTTAGTGCAAGCCCTATATGTTCTTGGGACTTAGTTAATTCTGCCAGTCTTGTGTCTCTATTCACAGAGTCACTGATTGCCTTAAACTTTGCTTTGAAACTGCAGGACTGAACAGGCTATTTTAATCTGCCTGTTGCAGGGGTGGTAGGCTCACAAACACCCTGAAGTAAAGAGAGGATGTCTTCTCTTCATTCTCTTATTTCAATCTTGAGAGCATGTGACCTCCAGAGGAGGAATTGCCAGCAGTTCTGATACTGGACCCTCTCAGCTTTGCTCTGTCAGCAAGGAAGAGAACTTTGGTTACAGAATTTCAGTTAAACTTACTTATTAAGGAATCCTCCTGTTCTCAAGACATTCATTTGAGCTCATGCAGATAACCTGTATCATAGAGCTTCTTAGGCAGTCTTGCAGCAGACTCATTTGTCTGAGTTTATTTCAATTTACCTATAAGCTAAACAAATTGAACCAAATAAAAGCCTGATTTAACGCCAGTGAGTGTCTGTCAAGGCTTTAGTACTCTGTAAAATTTAATGAATTCAGATATGTTTTCATGAGTGTTCTTCCCAGTCGGTTCCTGAAAGGTCTTTGTTCAGTCGTTTCACTATGGAAGTGGACCAACTACTTCAACAGTTGGTGTGCATGGAGAGTACCGATATGGGAAGTTGGTGTGTAGAATCCAGAGTTTCATAAATTACCACTTTAACTTACCCCTTACAGACCTCTTTTCATGGAGGAGTTTGAAATTAAGTGAACATAAGTGATTTTGTCACTGTCATTCTGAAGAAGAGTGCTTACAAAGAAATTGTGTGGCTCAACCGACTACTTTAACTGGAATTATTATTTCATTTACTGTGACTTTCTTGAGTGTTCTCATGAAAACTTGCTTGAAGACAAACCTGTCCATGTGACAGCCACCCTGCCTGAAAAACACTGTACAAAAATAGTCACATTTTATTTGTTGTACAAATTAGAATTGCTGACATTTCACAAAATCCTTAAAATGAGTATATTAAGATTTGATTTTATTAGCAGTTAACAGTTATATTGACTCTTTCTGTTGCTTCTCTCACTATGATTTTCTTAGAATCAGACTTCACTCCAAGAGGAATGGGGTCCTGAGCTAGTCCTGGCTGTTCATGCCACAACAGGAGACCTGTACAAAAGTCTACCTACCTAGGTTATTTATTTAGATAATGGGAATGTATGTTTTTAACCCCAGTTTAAGCAGTAGTTTTTAATCATCAGTTCCAGACAATTACTGATATTCTGGGCTAAATTGTCAAAGAATGAATATGAGGAATAATGTGGGGAGAGTATAGCATTCTGTTTCCTTACAGAATTCTGGCTCAGGTATACAGGATTTAGTTATACATCCATATGTAAGTCATAGCATTACTGGTTATAGTAAACATAAGTTGCATTCTGCTGCTGTAATGACACTTCATTGTATTGTGTTAATTGCAGTTTCAAGTGCTTCACAGTTTGCGGGAGTAATTCACTGGATCAGCCTAGTCATCCTGTCTGTTTTCTTTTCAGAGGTATGTATAATCTAAGTCTTTTACCACATACAGAACTGCAAAGTATTCTTATACTGTCACTGGAATTAACAAGAGTTTAACAGTAATTTGACTGTGAATAAATGTAGCACAGTGTGCTTAAAAAGCTATTAAAGAAACCCCAAAACAGTAAAAATCTTGTTTAGATTAGTGCTGTTGCTCAGAATTGCTGCCTGGAATTGGTAAGAAACATGGAAGATCCTGTCTTCCAAATTATAATTGGAAACCTGCAAAAAGAAATCTTCATCTCCAAATCCATACAGGCTCAGGGTAGGACTAGTTTTAGGTTGGTTTTTTTTTTCATACTAAAAGGTCTGTTGTGAGAATGGGATTATCTCCTCTCACAATTTGTGTGGGTAGTTTTGATGTTCTGGTTTGCTGCATATGACACAGAAAGAGAATGAAACAAATGGTGAATTTGTTTTCAAAAATGGTATGGCTGTATTGTGCTTTGGAAAAGGCTATAGCCATGATGTAACAAATGACCAGACTCAGATAATCGGTTATCAACTTTATTCCAGAAAGAAGTCATTTAGACTAGTCCTGAAATATCCCAAAATACTTTCAAGGCTGTTTTTTTTGAGGTCATAATGTGTTACTTGTCACAAAAAAAATGTCCTATGTTTGTGAATTTAGCAGATAGCTTGGACTTAAGTATTTAAATTACTTTTTCTAGTTCCGTAGGAGAAAATGTCATCCAAACAGATGATCATTCATCGCCCTGTGGTAAATTTAGGTGAAGGTTACAAAAAAAAAATGAAAAACCAAGGAGCTGTGATACCTGCAAATGAGTTGATAGATCACTTGTGTTGAATTGACGCTCATTATATTATACCACTCTTTATTTCCATTGGTCTGTTTATGAAAGACATGTATTTGCATGTATCACTTTGTGTTTCTGCTCGTAACAGGGATTTTCTAGCTGGTGTTGCCAGACTGTCAGTGGGTGCTTTCTGAAAGGAGTCCTTGATAACAGGCAGGGTGATTGCATCCTAACTGCCTAGCGCTGCAGTTAAACAGAAATAGGATTAGTGTGCCCATCCTTTGACGGTAGTTGTGGCTTGTAGGATACATATAAGATGACTGATAAAAAATACCTCTAAACAAAAAATGTTGCAGCTCGTCTTTCCCTTTTGAATTGCACATCCTAATTCTCGAGGGTTCTACTCATCCTACTCAGGATTGGTGGATGGACTCCATTCACTATGAAGAAATTGCTTCCTGGAGCTTGTTTCACAGAAGACTTCTCCTGTGGTCCTCAATTTCCTCCTGCTGGGGTGTGGTCTCAAGTTCTGTTTTCATTCATTTGCACTACCAACTACTCTTCTCAAACCCTAGTGCAGTGCCTTGTAAGCTTCTATATCCCTTCCATAGTTCGGTTTGTATGCTGGCAGTTTTGGGTTGGTTGGGTCTGGCAATGCAGGCAGATCCTCAAGGCCAGTCAGTACTCGTCTGTCGCAGGGAAGAAATCAGTTCTTTCAGTTCGACTGAGATAGAGTACCCACAGAAGTGGATAAACTGATTCAGAACTGCTTTGTGGGAAAACAGGAATAGAAGTACATCACAGAGCCCAGACTGGTTGTCCCCACTAACCATACTCAGTTTTGGATCTGTGTTGGCTTTCCTTCTCCTCTCTATATTAGGTTTTTGGAACTCCTTTTCTTTGTCCGCTTGCTGTTCTCACTTTTTATAAACCTCTTACTACTCACTTCTTTCACCTGTTTGATTATGGTCTGAATTTATACTGAAATAAAATGAGGCCACAAGGCAGCCATGTAAGGTGCACAAAGGAGGGTAGGGTTTTGGAAACTGGTTCATTAGACAGCTCAGAGTCCTAGACTGGGCTAAAGCAACAGAGATGGCTCCACAGAGCAACAGGATGTACTTCAAAACCCACAGAGATGGAAGAGAATGAAGGTGTGCCTTTCCTATGGGGTTTGCTGGAGTGGACTTGTGCCAGGTTGATTTAATGAGCGAGAGCACATCTGTTTATGTTGAAATGCATCTCAGCAGAGGAAAACCAAAAGGTTTCATTATTTTTCAATGACATCAAAAACTTTGCTTTTTCAAGAGATTATGAAATACTGCAAAAATTGCAGATCACATTATTTACCCTTTTTGTGCCTTCAGCGGATTATTTGCCCACTGATTCCCAGTGCCATGAGTCAGTGGTCTTTGTTTGGAATTATTTGTGGGGAAGATCCTGTGTTATAGTGAGATTTTGCAGTCTGTGAGTATTCATTCCAGGATGATTTTCCAGAGATGAGCAGGATTAGTTGCGTTGCTTGGATATAACAGGCAGCTGCTGAGCATTGATTAGTCTTTCAGTGAGTGCCTTTTCCCTGAAAGCCAAGGATTCGGGGTTTCTAGTGTTCAGAAAGTGGTGTTTCTATAGCAAGTACCATGGCCTAAGGTTGGATGTTTATTGTTTCTTCGGTAGTTTGATTCCTACTAGCTGTATATGCGAATACACAATTCTTCAGAAAGGCCTCAGCTCAGCCTTAGAGAACAAATAACATGAAGTCGTAAAAGACTAACTAAAAACCAGAAAGCTTTCAGCACAAAATCTGACTGTTTGGAAAACCATGACTGATTAAAAGCTGGTGCTGTAAAGGTATCGCAAGTAATTAGACTGTTATCATATTAGAGATAAAGAGGCACTAGCTTTTTGCTTGGTTAAAATGAAGGGGACAAACATGCCAGCAGCTGGCAAATGCCAGCAGAACAGCTGCCAACAAAATTAAATAGCTACTCTCAGAGCACCTTCCTGCTGTCTCTATGCTTGTGATATAGCTACAAGCCTTAAAGGAATTTATTGCACTCTGTTAATTTTATGTTCTCTGTCACTGACTGTGACATTACAATGTTAAAGCATCCGTATTCAAGTGAAGTGCACATGAGCTCTTTTTGCTTTTTTCCTAGTATTTGAACAGGATTTACTAGTGGTAATGATCATGTATGTTTGTCACTGTTTACATACACCACACCACTATGATTTGTCTGTGCACCAAATGTTACCCAGATGTTAAGACAGAAGAAAAGAGAAAGGCACGGGGGGAGAAACCCCGGTACCAACAGCAAGGCAAGGCTGGGGTTACACCCTGTCAAGAGAGCAAATTCAGCCTTGGTAATAGTTGGCTGAGAAAAGGAAGATGGGGAATGTCACAGTTTTGGTAAGTGGATTGGAGTCTGCTTATGTTTTAATAGTCTTATCACATTGCCAGAAATACTTGATTCTGCAGCTGTTGTGAAGTTCTGCTTTCCCACTAAGATTGATGAGACTGTTTGCGTGCAAGATCTGAGTTCTTGAATATTAGTTTTTTGCATTATTCTGCGTGTGCTTCAGTCAACCAAGCACTCAGGCATTCTGCTAGCTTTCAGCACTTGTGTTCCCATGGGATTAACCAGGTCTTCCAATGTGCTTAGAAGTTAGGCAGTGTGTCCAGGAAACGAGTTCTCAAATTGGGTAGAGTAAGTCTGGGGTCTGAGCTGATAAAGAATTGTTTCATTAGCTATGGCTCATGAGTGCATTTAGATTTTCACTTTCAGGGGAAAAACCAAACAAGCAAAACCCAACAACAAACCAAACAACAGGACTTTCCTTGCCTTTTAAGTTAAAGGGAGGAGTCCATAGTAGTCTGGCAATTCACTCCTTGCAGTCCTTGGATGGAATGCAGCCTCTTAAGGAAGACCCTACTATTTCTGTTCTGTTAAGACGAAAAAGATCCTAAATGACAGAGCCAAAAGAAAATACTGTATTTTCCATATAGATTTTTCATAACAAATTCATAATACTAGAAAAAACAGTTATATTAAGTTACATTTTTGTGAGCTTCAGACAGTTGAGCAGAAAGAAGATGATCTTCTATTATAATACTTCCATAAGCTGTGGCTTCTTTTACAGGCATTTTCCTTCATTCCACGTACACACAACATTTCTCATTGTGCATAAATGCATTGCTTGCTGTGTACATTTTGAGTTTTCAGGGGTTGATTAGGGGCATTACCTAGGAACAAAGGTGTGGATTTTACATACTAATGTAAAGGTAAATTTAAGTTTTCTTCCTTGCCAGTGTGCGTATTTAATATACTGTGAAATTTCTTTTCTAACCACTTTTCTTGCTTCTCAAAAAAAAAGTAGTTACCAAGGAAAATGGTTTCGTAGAGGTCTAGGAATTAAGACCTAGCAGACACCTTCCTGAAACACCAGTGTGACCGTGTCTTTTATACGGTGTGCTTTATCAGTGCTTCATCTGTGCTTTCATTTCTTGATAGTGACAGTCTAGCACTTTCTACACAGTGCATTTCAGAGATAAGAATTAGTGCTAGTGTAATCATGCTTAGAGGGAACTTCTGATCCTGGGTTGCTTAACACCAGTTTTCTCCAATCTGCATGCACCTTATGGTAGTACAGTGCATCTCTCGTAAGCCATTTCTATTTCTGAAAAGTCCTTTCAAATCTATGCAGAATTGTCAGTTAAAAATCAATTATTGTTCTCCATATTGTAAGAACAAATATTAAAGGAGAACAGAAGAACAAATAGAACTGCAGAGTTAATGCAAAGGTGCATTTGGATACTACATGATATCAAAATGGTATTGGTGGCAGTTAATGAAAAAGAATATACTGCATTCATGCCTATTAGTGCTTTTGCACATAATTATTTCTGTGTGACCACGTGTGCTAATGGAGCCAAAGCAGTTCCAGAGTGCAGTACATGGGGAGTGTTTTGTACTGCTAATATGTGAAGTGAGGTCAGTAGTTACATGTTTCCTTTCAGAACCTTGACTGAAGGAGAAGCTGTGTGTGGAGGATGCCTATCCACTGGAACCAGAAGGGTGTCTCTGTTTAAAGGTGCTAACATGTTCCTTCATGTTACTAGTGGCTGAGGATAGCGTGCACTAGAACTGCCAAGGCAGTATCTCAGAACAGGCACACCAGATGATGGAAAAAGATTGTTTTAAGTAGTGAATGAGTGAAGGCCTTTGTGGAATGACTCAAACCAGAGAGGTTATAAATTACAGATTGGGTACAAGGTGTTCCTTCTTGGAAAGATTTCAATAAATATTTGGTCTTAAGAGATACAGCCAAAAGGCAGAAGCTTAATCTTCAGAGTTTTTATACAAGCCAGAGGTCGAGACTTTCTGTAATAGATTGATTAGTTTTGTGGCAGAGGAAGGAAGGAAGGAAGGGCTCTTTTAAAGACACCTTTTCCACCCCACTCCATCCTGTCTATCTCTTGTACAATCACTACACCATCTCAAAGTGCAGAGTTGCTCTCCTTCGCTGTTAGCTAACCCTGGTGGGTCAGCTTCACCTCCTGCACTGCCTCCTTTTGGTTTCTTAACACTGTGGGTTGATTTGGCACAGTGAGTCACCAGGAATAAATTGTGTATTAACTGTGCAAATGAAAGAGTGTTTAATGGTTGATAGTGTTCCACCTAATGTGGGCTGCAGTCAGGTGACAAATGTAGGCTGGCTCATAGAGACTGTGAGAATTCATATGGCTGGCTGGCTGTGTGAATTCCCACAATCCCTATGAGCCAGGAAGCCAGAAGCAAAGGACTTGGCCAAGTTTCCCTACAAAATTAGAGAGAAAACCTGCAGCATCACACAGTTCTTCATAAATTTCACTGCAGACAGTTAAAGTTGTTCAAACAGTTGGGTGTCACCGAGGGACACTGTGAACTTCACAATTACATTTCTGTCTCAAAAATGGCTTAAAATTTTACCTTTACCTGGGTTTATTCCAACTTAAATTAACAGAAGTGTTCAGTCATTTACCTTTTATTAGTGCACTGGGCAGGCTTTTATGCAATAGCTTAGCTTTTCTCAGAAAACAAAAAACTTATTTCTGATATAAAAAACATATGTGTATGTTAAAGGACTTTCTAATGAAAAGCTTTCCAGTGAAGAAATGCTACAACATTCTTTGTCAAGAACAAAAACCCAAGCTGGCAGTAGCCTTTAACAGGAAGGTACTCACACTGATATTTGATGTTGGCTTTCAAATCTGTGTTCCAGAAATGCAGAATGCCTGTAGTTTGGTCCATCTACACTGTGTAGGTTATTATTAATTTCTGTATCTGGTTGTGGCGTTTTCTCAGCTTTTGTGCAGGGTCTGCTTTTTTACTTTCTCTATTGAGTACACAATCAAATGCAAGATGTATTCATTTGAAAGATATTTTTGATTGCTTAGGAAAAATGATAAAATGTCATTGACAAGTAGCACCAATGCTTTCTTTCATTTCAAACTCTTTATCATGCTAAACAGTCAGGGAGGTTTGACCAGTGAAGTCCAAATTTGCTTGGTTGAGACCCCTCTGGGTAGCAATTATGGCAATGGTAGTGGATGTAATCTCATGCTCAGTACAAACGGGGGGCAGGGAAAGCTAAACCTAGTTTGGAGTTGCCGCTAGTGAAGACTGGAGAATGGGCAGTAATTGTGTAGCACCTGGGTCTCCAGACATACTTCCTTGGGGTGTCCAGTTCCTCAGGGCACCAAGGAAAAGCTGCCTTACCTGGCTTTTGTCACTTGAGTGATGCTGTGGGGATTCTTGTTAACAGTGATAATGCTGGTGCATAGGTTTCAGACCTTCCATAAAGAACAAGCATTTTTAATGCTTAAGCCTCAGTTGTACCCCAGTTTGTGCTGAAGAGTGCACCTCTCAGATGGGGAGCTGGTTCATTCCACCCTCACACTCTCCTTTCCTACAGTGTGTTTGCTCTAGCTGAGAGCAAAGATGCTAATCATCATGGCATTGTCTGTGAGGAGACCTAGGGGTAGCACCAGCAACCATTACTGCATCAGACGTCTGCTGAACAGACTTCCAGCCCTTGCTGACTTGTGCTGATTCACGCCAGCAGACTGAAAACGAAAACATTTGTGCTAGCTTCCAGCCCTTGGAACTGCTCAGACCCCTTAATATGAAGTAGCACAGTCTGATTTGAAACACTACAGTGAGGAATTAAGAAGGCAGAAAGGAAAACCCTTTTTATGTTCCCTCAGCAGCCCCACATTAAATCATACTTAGAGTATTGAGACACTGTTTGTTTTCTTTGTGCAGATATGCCTTAGAATTTCACTGGAAATACCTTTGTGCTCACCTGTCCAAAGGGAGAAAGATTTTCACCGTCAGTTACTGTAAAGATGTTAAGTGTTCAACCATCCTTTAGTTGCTTTTTGACCTAGCACTTCATAAATGCTGCTTAAGCATAGTAGAAAATGAGCCAGATTTCTCTATGCTGTCAGCGGGGCTGCTGTGGGAAGGGTAGTATCCCAAGCTTTGAAGTAGGCACTGTTTTTTCTCATTCATTTCCAGATGGCTGCCTGCTGTGGAACTTGCTGGGGTGGACCCCAGGTTAACCAATGTGGCTGAACTTACGGGCTCATAAGTAACTTGTACTTACTCATTTTGTGCAGCTTCTCAGTGGGGAGTGAGGGAGGTGCTTACAGAGGAGCTGGGATGCTTTTGTCCCAAAGCGTTCTGCTCAGGGCCTGAGCTGAGGCTGCAGAAGTGCCTTGGTTGTACAGCAGGAGGTGTACTTACACTTTGTGCTTACATCACATTGTGCTTGCAAATTTGGAGACAGAGGGATTTAAGGAGCTGCTGTTGCTCATCTCTTCCTCCACAAATAGGTTAATAAGAAAATTGCTGTGAGCCTTATTCCTATGCTGCATTTGTAAAATGCTTTGAAAGTAAAATGTCCTTAGGACTGCAGACCAGCAGCTTTAGCATTTCTTGGTGTCTATGCAGAGTCCTGTAATCTTTTGCAGCGTAAAGAGCATGCTGCATTTTCTCTTCTGGCCTGTGACTGCCTTTCTCAGCCAGACTTGGCCAGTGCGTCAGGGACACCATTTCTGAGTCAGCAGTGGCTGGGTCACTGTCCTGCTCATTGACAGTATGAGGCTGGGCTCTGAAAGCACCGTATTTCCCACAGGAATGTCTCCCTCTGCCAAACAGGATTAAGTGCTGTTATCAAGGTTTAGAATGCCAAGACAGAGCTCAGCGCAACCATCCCGGGCCAAGTGAGGCAATTGGGCTCATGGCGTTTGGCAAAACCAGGCATGGGAACAGTACTGAAAAATCTAGTGTTGTTCTACGATTAGTTAGTGCTGGTATGTTTGACTTAATATATTTGTATTTGGAATGAAGAGGAGGTACATGTATTCATCACAGTCGTTTTTTCTGCACAGTTCTTGGCACAATCCCCCCTCACACATAGACCTGCAGAGCTCTCTGTCATTAGCACTGTTCTCTAATGGAGAAAGTAGCATTTTGATCTGCACATAGCTGCATTTGGACTCTTCATGTCTGTAGTGTCTGTCAAAATCTGACCTTGATACTGCTCTTGGCAGAAAACATCCCATCATGTGAATTCAATTTCAATCTTTAATTGGCTGACTCCTTTTTTTTATTTTGATCTTCTGACAGCCAGGTAAAAACTGAGGAAAAGTGCCATTGGATTTTTAAATGGGAATTCACCATTGGTTCATTCTCCGTTATTTCTCTTTTTTAGCTACTGGTGCTACTTTATGGCTGTTGTGCTTCATAGTGGAGGATCAGAGAGAGATTTATCTCTCCCTTGTCCTAACTGTTTTTCAATAAGACAACAGCCCTGTAGTCCAGAGAGGGAGAATTAGAACCTGTGCTCTTTAGATTGACAAAATGTCAGTATCTTTAGGCATTGAGAGGGAGCAGTGCCTCTTTTCTTTTTGTAGAAAATAGTAAGCACAGGCTTATCAAAGGTGGCAAGAAAAGAGAATCTTTTCACCTTCCAACTGAGGAGGCCCAGCAGTGGATGTTACATAGGCTTGGGTCAGAGGTTGGGCTATGGAGGGTTGGCAATCTGAATCTCACCAGTCTAAAAGCAAAACTTTAGGAGGATGGAAGGATTGCTGCAGATCTGAATTGGAACTTTTAAATGCAAGTTTCATTGAGCAGGACAGTGGTTGGGAAGCAGTACCTGCTTTCATAATACAGAAGTGCAGCTATTTCTAGATCCTCATTATTATTCAGAAGAAAAGCATAATGCTTATGTAAGACAAAAATATGATCCTATAGATAGATGTAGGACTAAACATTTGTCTAAAATTACAATAACAGTCATCATCTCCCCCCCCCCCCCCCCCCCCCCCCCCCAATCTATTTTACTAGACTATTTTGAGGATTGTGGTCCTTGGCATATGGGATTACATTGAAAACAAAGTAGAGGTAAGCACTCTTACTCTTTGTACTCTTTTCCAGGCAGTCACAGTAAGAATATTAAGCACTGCTTTGGGTGGGTTTTTTATAGACCTGATGTAATACAGCGTCTTTTAAGTCAGATAAATAAGCTTATTCTTCTCATTCTATGTATGTATATATAGCTGTATGATGCAGTACCTTTTTCTGTGAGAGACTCAGAGTGTGACTTTCTGGAATATTTTATGAAGGGAAGGTTCTGTCATTTCTTCTCTTTGGGACTCTGTTTTCTTGTTAGAGCTATGCTAGTTTAACTTGATATCTCTACCCTGAGATAATGAACAGTACAGGTTATATGACTTGTTATGTCATTGTTATTGTTATGTGACTTGTGTAACCCCATTCCCATCATCAGGTTGAAATTAGAACCAAATTACAAATTCTGTGTAGTTTTGTGATAAGAAATACTGGTTTGGCAAAACGCTCAATTTTCTTGTGAAATCATTTTTTAGTTAAATTGAATTCTGACAAATACCATAATTTATACCTCAAATTAAGAAATGAGGTAGAATGCGCAGGCTGTTGCAGAGGCAGATAAAGAAATGCATGTGTTTAAATAACTCAATCTAAATCTGAGCAAAAGTGTGGAGATCAGGAAAACTAAAAGCTCTTTGTTGAGTCTGATAAACTAATACTGCACAGGGTGCACCCAAAGAAAATGTGGGTTTTCTCAGAGCTGAAGTGAGTCTAGGAACCTGCACATTTTTGTAATAAAGTTGTAAACTTTTTAACTTTTTTTGCTAGAAAATTTACATGAAACTGAAGTTATTGATTGAGAGACTCTTATTATGGAGGCTAAATGCAGCAGTTTCTGATAAATAATTTTGCTGATTTGGAACAGAGCAATGTCCTTTACTGCCCATCATATGGTCCTAGTAAGAAGTGTTTCTTTTCAGTACACTGAATTGTTATGCACAATTCTGAATATATAGTGCTTATCCAATATGATGTCTTGCCTCCTTATGCAAACCATTAATCACTGCTCTTTGGCAGCAGGGAAGGGTCTCAGTAGGAATGAAAATGTGGTATTCTGTTCTACCCTGCTAGGCGAGTGTAGGACAGACACAACACTATTGCCAGTTTGCTCTGAAATGTCTTTACTCATGCATTTCTAAAACGTTGCACAATTGCCTTTTCTGATCTAATCCCAATGCAACCAATGTCATACAAATCATTCTGAATAGTTCCAGTTGTCAAAACCCTTGAAAACCTAGCTGCCCAATAAAGGTGAGAGCAAGGAGTCTGTCTGTCTTGATGCATAGCCATTGCCACACACGTTGCATAGTCAGGATGTGGCCAAGAGCCATCAAGTCTCTTTGCTCCATCTTTTTCTGCTTGTCCTCTTGATCTCTTCATTTAGACAGTATGATCTATTGGCACGGACCGTATCCTTTTTTTGGGATGACATTATGCTAAGTAACAGGTAATAAGTACCAATGATAATAAAACTCTTTGGCTGCAATAGCATTTAGGCTATCACTTCTGCTTGGAAATTTTGGCCAGTATTTCCAAATACCTTTTTCTCTCCCTGTCCTCCTACCACAGTTTGTGTCTCCTCACATCATAAAATGCACTAAGGAATTCTGTTGTGCTGCCTAAAAAGGATGCAGCCTTTCTGTGGCTTGGCCACTTCTCGTATCCCTTTCAAACATATACCATAATTACATTTCTTTTGGGCAAATTGAGCCCGAGGCAGGAATGGCAGGGCTATGAACTCTAGGAGAGCTTTGAAAAAATTGATTTCTCTCTAGGTGTTTGATGGTGCTGTCATAATCTTGTCCTTGGCACCAATGGTGGCCTCAACAGTGGCTAATGGCCCCAGCAGCCCATGGGATGCTATCAGCCTTATTATCACACTACGAATCTGGAGAGTGAAGAGGATCATCGATGGTAAGTGGTGATTCAGTTTGGGGCTCCAAGAATTACCTGGCAGGCTGAGGAAACAAAAAAGACATTTTAAAACCATGTAAATATTGTTTGTCACCACTGTTTCTATCATTCTCCTTCCTCTTATTTTTAAGAAGATGGAACAGAAGACGGTTATGATTCCTATGGATGCAAGTAGGTCTCCAGTTCATGGCTGTTCCCTAGGAGTCTTTATAATTGATTAGTTTATCTTTCTGTTGAGCACCTTCACATCCCCTGTCCTGTAAAGCAAATGCTCTGATCTGCTTCCTCTCTCCTGCCACCAGATATCATTCCTGATTCTGCAAAATAATTGCTTCCAATCTGCCTTTCTGAATACTTGCTGCACCCTCTCCATTCCCTACAGCTAGCTCTGTCTTGGGGCTTTCTTTTCCATGTTCTCATCTGTAATACTATTTTTATGTCAAATTCCAGGAGCATATTCTTACCATGGGGGTTCCATGCTGAAGGTGCTCTCTGCAATGGTGGTGCTCTGCAGCATAATACTGAAGCATGTATTGGTGTTGTTTTGTACAGACCTTGGTGGGGGGAGCACCAGGGGAGATAAGAAAGCCCCAGAAGTGAGGGTTCTGGAGAGCAGAACCACTGACTGTTGAGCAGTTTGAGGCATTTGTTTTTACAGGGAAGAGAAGTGGAAGAGGAATTAATGAAGGGTCATTTTGCTCATGGAGAAAGATCAGAGTCAATTCGTTATTTTGAGTTTAGATGCCCAGGAAACCCTGTATTCAGAGTTATGGAAGGGTCGTAGCCCTCTGAAGTGTACAAGAGAAATTGAGGATCTCGTGCAGCTTCAGAAAACATCAAGAGTTGCAGTATGCATTGAACATCTTTGCTGGTCCGTCAGAGTTTGCCATAGTTATGACAGGAGCAAAATTTCCAGGGGCTTTCAGAAGAGTTGTTAAAAACTGGGCTGTAGCTCGAAAACCAATAGAAGATAAATGCCTTTTTGTTTTTAAAATACCCTTCTTAGTCTGCTGTTTCCATTAAGGACTTATTTCTTACCACAAAGTCTAGGAATTAAATGCTTAGGGCTCTGGAATAGTTCTTTTCCTAAGGGAGCCATGCTGTTCAGGTTTAGAGGTGATGGGTGTAGCTCTAAGCAGAAAATCCTTCTAGCTAGCAATTCAGGAAATGTGGGGTAAACACTGGAAAAGATCTGTATGAGTGCAGCAGAAGCTAGGAAGAGCATGCAGAGGATGCATTTCAGCTCAGCTGGGGAAATAGAGGTCTCACCCAACAAGACCTAAATGCTGCTGACCTGCATTTCATGTGTTGGAAATCCTTCCCCAGAGGAAATACTCTAGTGCTATTTCTATAAGAAATACTCTAGATCCAAGTGAAAGGGGTGACATTCATTGGCCTGTAAAGGGTTTTTCTCTGATTAAGAAAAAAAAAAAAAAGACAGCTGTGTTACTTTAATGCTTATTTGTGTTTTCCAGCCTATGTCCTTCCAGTGAAAGTGGAGATGGAGATGATGATTCAGCAATATGAGAAAGCAAAGGTTATTCAAGATGAGCAGCTGGAAAGACTAACCCAGATCTGCCAAGAACAAGGGGTAAAGTTCAGTTATGTCTTTATTTGCATATAGCTTGTCATGGCAAATCAAACAGTACGTGTACTTTGCTGCAAGCTAAGGTTTGAGAAGCATCACTAGGACATCTGTTGTAAGGTGACAGGTCTCTGTTAAGCATTAGTTGCAGCCTGGATATTGTCAGCATGCTATTTGTCAGAAAGCAGTTGTCTCCCTCTGCTTGTATGTTTTTTTTAAGGTGAGTATAACAAATGTGAGGAAGAGAAAAGGAATTCTCCAGGATGTAACTTACTGAATGAGTACAAATAACTTGTCGTAATACTAAGAACATGAAAAAGTCATTGCCTTTATTGGAAACTGCAGGAATATTAAGGCCTTATTCCCAGGAAAGGTATATGCAGTTGAAAGCTAATGAATCTCCCTGCTTTCAATGCAGAAGGCAGCTTCCCTGTAGGTCAGTCAGAGGCTATTTTGGCAGACCTGGAATGTTGCAGTAGAAGCTTCCAGTTCCTGGAAGCAAGTCAAGATTTAAGACTTTTCCCAGGCCCCCAAATATTCAGTGATTAAGTCTTGAGGTAAGGGAAGGTGAAGCTTAAAATATGTCAAAAGAATATATATACATGAAGAAAGTGTAAAACCACTGCTAGGGCAACGAGCTAGGAGTTTTTGCAGTTTGTCTCATGCAAATGAGTTCTTGAATAACCTGCTTTAACGTAGAAACCAGGAACGTATGTTGAGGCCCAGGCTAAGGGAGCGTTCAGATGACCTTCAAACCACAACAGAATGACCCTCCAACTGACTTCTTGTTTCAGCTGTAAGGGTAACTATGAGGTGTCCAAATAAATCTTGAAGATTTCTAACTTCAACTCCCACTCCCCACTTGTGGTAGGTGCTTTCCAAATACAAAATGAGGAGATCTCAAGGTATGAATGGCTCAATCAGTCAAAAGGTTGAAAGGCCTGAGCAGACAGCAGGAGAGGCAACTTTTCCCAGAATAAGACCAACTGCTCAAAAGGTGCCTAATCTGAAGCAGGGATTTAGGTGCCCATATTTTACTAAGGAACCTAAATTACTTGTGAAACCATCACTATTTAAGTCCCCACATGGCTTTTTAAGTTTAGTTCCAGGTCTTCTGGGTCTCAACCTAGAATTCTGCAATGAACTCTTGGTGGCGTTAGGTTCCCTTGTCTGTGTAATGAATCAAGCATACCTCTTGACAGTGTGCGTGTCATTTCACACTGATTTTGAGTGTCTCATATTAAACATAACAAATTTCTAAAGCTTGTGCTTGACTTCTGCCAAAAATCAGTTGCTTCCAACTATGTATCTTCAATGGCAAAACTGCAGTCCTCTTCACACAACTTTACACAATTACATTAAGTGATTCATGGTTCTCTCATGGTTGTGAACAGGGAATTGGTATATATCCCATTTGATGGGGGAGATGTTATCCTTTGGTCAAATGCACTAGGCAGATCGGCGATGTCTTGAGTCCTGTGGCAGTATTTTGCCTGTCAGACCATGCTATTAGGCTGAAGTTCTTGACAGTCATCAGTTTGAAAGCATTCATGTTTAGGAAGTGTATTATGCAGCCAGATAACGCTCACAATCTCTGAACAATTTTTGGTGTTACTTCATGGTCTTCGAATAAAGGTGGGCTCATCCCAGAGGGGGTTCAGGAGCAACTTTTGCTGCTCCTCATTCTGACCCATGTACTCCTTATCTGCATGCCTGCCTTGCAAGATGTCTGAGCATAGTAGCCCTAATCAGAACTCTGTTAGTTACAGCATAATTGTATATCAAGCACAAAGAAGTGCTGTACTGGTAAATGAGTGAATCTGTGAAAACAGAGCAGGTTCTCTCTTAGCTTTCAAATGTCATCAGCTGTGGGGGAAAATGGACTATAGAAAAATGACAGCATGCTAATCCCTCTTATTCTACTGTCCTGACTTCCCACCAAACAAATGTCTCAGCTGTGTAATATGAGGTAAATGCACTAATTTGCTACAGTTAGCAATGTAAGACATTGATACAGGTACTGCAACTTCCCTTTGTAAATTATTAGCTTCTTAATTCAGTCAAGAATTTTAAGCATTATAATATTCACGTTAACATTGGGTACAGTATCTGGTGGGAAAAATGTCTCCTAATGGCATTTAATGCCTAAAATCCTGTTAGGTTTTTGCTTTTTCATTTGATGATCTTTCCTAACCTTTTTAGAGGATTGCTCATTCACAGAATTGAAGTGAGCATCTCTGTGGTTTTGAGTGGAGCTTTGCCTACAATAGTCTGGCTGTTCTCAAGTCTGGATCACTGGCAGGCAGGCATTCCAGTTTGCCTTGTTTGTATGGTGCCACCTCTGACATGGGCAGATAGGATAGCTGGGAGCTACAGGGGTTGACCGCTTGCCTCAGACCCCAGTGCCAGCCCAAATAGGGAGAATGGGCAAGCCATCATATTTGCCTCCATCCCAGCAGTGGATGTAGATGCAGCCTCAGGATGAATCAGTATTTTTGTGACCACACTGATGATTTGCATTTATTTAGTAATTATAGAGAAGGCTGAAAACATTCCTGTTAGAAAGATTTCCCACCGCTTCCTTTTCTGAGATCCTGTGTTCATTTCTGACTGCTTTGTTTCTTGTCAGGCAATTGGGATTGAAATTCTCAAGGTCTGGCATCTTCTGCAGATGAAATGATTTTGAAAGTTTCAGACAAAATATTCCTTATTTATGAAGAGGAAATGGGGAAAAAATAATCTGTTTTGTTCAGCATTTAAAACAAAATAACTGGGGACCAGCTCTGTGAGAAGTCCCGTGCCTGCCTGTATGAAGCTGATACTTAACACAAAAGTAGAGTTATTGCTTTAAAAATACCAAAAGCAGGGAAGAAGCAATCTCCCTTCATCTTACTTTTTGAATGCTGTTTCTTTTGTCAGTTGTATATTTTTTGGCCAGTGGTATCACAACTATAAAGTACATTTCCATTCCTGAATGACATTGGAGACGTACTTTTGCAAACGTGCAGACTCTTTCCAGATGTTGATTTTTGGCTAGCTATACATTTGAAAACCAGAATGTATTTCATAAATTATAGTTGCATGGACCACCACTTTGTTCTATGTAGTACCCCCTGAAACTGAATAGTTTGCTTTTTATTTATTCTCCATTGGCCAAGAAAGAAGTTGTTAAAAGGGAGTGGAGCATGAGGGCGGTCAAGGCAGAAAACACTGCAAGGGCCGAGATACCTGCACAGGACTTCCCAAAACATGAGAAGCATTAACAGTGACAGTAATGGAGATTTCTAGCAATGGGTAAAGGTAAAGAGGTCTCACAACAATTACCATCAAAATTATTAACAGAGTGTATTGCTGATGCTATTGTTTTATCAGATTAAGTTGAACTGCAACACAAAATTCCAAAGTTCCATTAACAATGCAGACTCCAACGAGGGAAAGATTGCTTTTTTCCTCTGGAGTCACCTGTAAAGGAATTCCGATTTCTGATAATAGAAATTATTATCCTATTATTAATATACATATATAATAGAAATTATACTTGCATGATCTTTTCTGCTTAACTTTCACAAGATCATTCAGCCAAGCACAGAGCAGGCAAGACTGTATGTTCAGCCTTATCACAAGAGCTCCTTTTCTGTCAGCTCCTATAGAATTGGGGTTTTCATCATTCTCAAAGCTGCAACAACTATGGGAGCTATAATTTCTTTTTTATCTTGGAATATAATTTGTACAACAGCTGCTAGTTTAATGACAGGGCTATTTAGCTGGTAAAATTACCTATTGGAGAAATAACTTATGTTATCCTTTTGCAATAATTTTAATTTATTTCCAACTACCAGTCATTTTCTTGGGCAATGGAAGGCAGCCAAGGTCATTCTGTGTTTCACTCTGCCAGTAAATCATTAGTTTGCAACTGTCTCCTGATTTTTATTGTTATCAACAATGTCTAAACTAATGGAAATAAACATTGGATTGTATCCCAGTGGCAGATGAATTTTAGGGCAGGGCATTGTGTACAGACAGCACTAATAGAATTGAGCAAAGTTATTGCTCCTGCATTAGACACGAGTAAGCTTCTGGATAAAATGTTCATTGATCTTTCTGAAACTATGTCAGTCATACTCTGTTGCTAGACCATTACAGGCAAGTACTGTATGATTCACTGCTAAGTCCCTTTTTGAGTCTTACATGAATGTTGTACAGTACCAGATGGGTGGGTAGTGTGTAAACTGAGATGTTACCTGGAGCTCTGGGTAGGTCTTGGTCAGTTTACCTGCTTATAAACAATCACCTGATGCATTCTTTGAGCGAGGAATTGTACAGTGTGCCCCATAGTTCTTTCTGCTTTGTTTCCTGGCAAAGTATTGCTAAGTTTGTGCTACAAGAGGACCCGTAGCACTTTTTAAAGTCCTAAGTAAGTTTAAATTTCCCATCAATCAACTTTCTTTTCATGCCTGACAATCCAGTTACTCCTTACATGAGACGCTCTGTATCGCCCTTTTTCTTGGTAATAAGTGTATTTTCATGCTAGCCACATGTATTCAGCTCCCTCATGGGAGGGTATGGCCATGCTCTTCTCAGAGGTGCAGAGTGACCGTGCATAAGCTTCAATGTCCAAATTTCCTATTAAATATAAGAACAAACATTTTCAGTAGGAGAATGGTCAGGCACTGGAGCCCACTGCCAGAGAGGTTGTGGTATGTACAACATTGGAGATACTCATAACTTGACAGGACAGGCTTTTAGCAACCTGAACTAAATGGACTTGCTTTAAGCAAGGTGGTGGATTAGATGACCCTCACAGGTCCATTTCAGCCTAGATTATGCTGTGATTCTATAAAGTTTTCAAATATATTTTTTCCATTGCAAAGTATGTTGGAACTTCCTGATGAAGGAACCCACGAGAAGCTACCAGAGTCTATGTGATTAAAGATAACGGGCATTGTATGTGTCCTGGTAAGTAATGTCAGTAGGGGTCTCAAGTGGACCAGCACTCAATTTGTGATTATCTTGAGTCGGGAGATGGTTTGCTTTAGGATCTGTGACCACAAGTTATCTTATGCACAGCAGCATTATTTGCCCACTGGTACTCTATGGGAATTACAAGGCTTTTAACACAGAGATGGTACCTTTGAGTAAGTCTTAATTTAAACAAATCAAAGCATGCGTATCAGTTCATGTGTTTTTTTCCCCTCAGGATATGCATAATATGCCCCCTTCCTTTACAGACTGAAGGAGCTTCCTGCAGTACTCTGTTATGGAGGCTCAGGTCTACATTCAGGTAGCTATATCAGCTCCTACTGCAAATAGAAATTTCATGTGTTTAACTTGGCCCAGAATTTTTAGTTAAAAAGACTGTTATATTTTATACCTTTTAATGATTTATTTAACCTGCCCTGGACTGCATGACATGCAGTCAGAGCAATCTCATTAGCTCTTTTACACATTAGTACTGCCTGAGGTCAGTGTTCAATATAATGTTCAATAGATACAAGCACTTACAGCATAATTTGCTCAGGCAGTCTCTCATTGAATTACACCTGTAAGGAACACCCAGTTCTCGTAGAGTTAACTTTTGTTTTTAGTGGGTTGCTTTTAGTGCCCTAAACTGTATTCCAGCTTCTACAATATCTTGGGAGAATTTGTAAGTAATAATTGGAAACAAGTAATATTGAACTGATCTCCTGAGTAGATGCATGCCGAAGATCTGTTTCTTATTTAACTTTTCCTAGATATTTTATTGAAAGTCCTTTGCATTTTCTTAAATCAATCTTTATGATAAATGGTGATTTTTCCACCCAGTCTCTTTCTGAACATGCTAGAGGCTTTAGAGAGTTTCAGTTTGCATTTGGAGGCAGCATATTCAGTTTTGGTTCTGTCTTACAGTTGGTGTCTGTGGTAGTTACAGTTCTGCATCTCAGTGGAATACGTTGTGTGGATCACTTTGTATTAGCAGCAGTGAATGCGGGAGTGAGACAAACACCATTATTTCAATGAGTACCCTCTTCCGTGTCAATAAAAAAATGACAGTTACACACATGATAGCATTTAAATCTAACTTTCCACTGTTTTAATGACACGTATACTTCAGGGCAAACATGAATGGAACCTGGAAGCTGACCATGTGAGGTAATGGAAAAGTGGAAGGGAGAGCCTGTGTTAACCAGCTGCAGCTGTGTGGGTTTGTAGGCAACGTTAGTTTCTGCTAATATCTTTCTGAACATCTCTGCATGCTATTGTTCACCTTGCACATAATGTTGATGTCCAGTATAGAGAGGTGCTTTACTGTGCCTAGGAATTCAGTCCTCAGATCTGCTCTTGACAGTCTCATGTTCAGCTCTAGATTTTGGACCAGCTGAACTAGCTCAGGGTTAAGAGCTGAAAATAAGACAAACATGTGGCTTGTGTTTGCAGCTGGCAATAAAAGAGTTCGCATACCACTTAAATGTATGCAGGACTTGCAACTTTTTCTAATCCTCAGGCAGCGAATGAGAGAAGCATGGCATGAGCCAAGACATCAGGTCTTGGTTTCAGTTTCTGCTAGAATGTGACATTACTGCGATCTTCACCAGCAGGTGCTTCCTCTGCTGCTGCAGGCACAACCGTGTACTTCTGTCTTTCAAACATGAGATGGCAGCAAAGCCCCTTCTGTGTTTTGACGCTCGTACTAGCTGTTCCCCTGAATAACTCTGGTAATCATTTTCTCTGTGGATTCCAGTTTCTCATGCTGTCTGTGTGGCTGGGATTCACCCAAGATGTGATTCCTCTATAAACAGGGAATCAAGAACTGCTTGGATAAAGTGTGGCTGTCCAGCATGGTGATCCCAGCAGCAGCTGCTGCTGCTTGGTCCAGCGTGCCAGGCTGAGTAGTTCATGGGTTGTTGGCAGAGCCATATCAAACAGTACAATCTATTAACTCATCTACTGCAAACTGGCTGGTGACTGAGCATGGAAATTGTAAAAGATAGACAAGACTGTGGATAGTTGGAAGCGTTTGCTTTATTCATTGGAACGTGTGAGTGGGCATCAGGAAGTCTGGACTCTTCCCTCCATCTTTGCTGTAGGTTCACTGGGGCAGGAAGGATCACCTGGTGTGGTGCCTTTTTCACATCTGTAAAATGCACCGATTCCCTTCAAGCTTTGGATTGTTACAAGGTTCAGCCAATCATTGTAAATGTTTAAGCTGGTTAAATTGAGTGGCAGAAATCCAATTCTTGAGCTGACTTTTAGGTAGTTTTATCTGTTTGTGTTATAAAATACCTGCCAATTTTTTTTACTCTTCCTTGAAAAAATACATGGTATCCTGCCTCTAAGCCAGAATTGGGCATTTTAGTGGCAATATTTCTTTTTCTGACATGCAGAAACATTTTTGAAGGGTGAAATGTAGAAAGCCAGTAGTGAGGCCTAATGCTTACTGCTTTTCAGTTTGAGCTAGACAGGTGGGTATGGTTACACAATCATTAAAAGAACAACCAAAAAGCCTCCAGTTTTATCTCGTGCTTATCATGTTTGAGAACATTTTTTCCCTTAAACCAAGGGAGTTTCTAACAGGGGAACTTTCTCCCTGTGACGGTGAAATGCAAGATATTTGGAAAATTTTGGGATTTTATTTTTTTTTCCTGGAAGCCAAGGGTAAAACTTGAAGTTCTCTGTGTTGTAAAGCTGAACCTTTAAAGCTGAACCATGACATGCAGTCCTGTCATGGCTAATTGACATGTTCATATTGGCATCTTAAGCCTCAGGAAGCTTAGGGCTGGCTGGGAAAAGTTAGCAGCAGTTTGCTGCTGCTTCCTAGCTGATAGGTTGACACAAAACCCACCACCTGGGATCTGCCATGGAGGTGTCATTGAAAGAGCAGGGCTGTATTTTGTTGTTTGCTGATACTGATTCCTCTGACTGCCACTGTCAGAAGAGCCTTGGTTAAGAGCAATGAATGTTTCATGCAGCCAGCTGTCTGTAGCTGCCAAACCAATGTCTCTTGATTTCAAGACGGAGAAAATGCTGTATGCTTTGTTAGATCCCTGTATTAGGTGGTTTGAATGTGATCTGGAAAGCTTAAACTGTCCTTTTGCTCCCTAGATTTGAGTCTTGAAGTGGGTCTTACAGTTATTGGTTCCTTCCCTTAAGCTCTGGAAAGCAGACAGTCTCCAGATGTGACAAACTGGAATCCCTTTTTCTTTCCTCTTTTTTTCTTTCTCAAATCTGCAGAAACTGTCTTGTTTCCCTTCCAGTTGCTTGCACAGCTTGGAGGAACTGCCGGTGCTCTGCAGCATGCCTGAGCTTCACACCATGTCTGATGTGGACCGCAGTGGAACAAACTAGGCCTGCTGATGGATTCCAAAATCTGACAGTAGAGTAGCTTTGAGTCAGAATCTGAGAGGCAAGAGCCAGAACCAGATTCATTTAGCCTACATGCTGTTACACACCAGTTCTCAAGCATCGAGGTGCTAATTCTTATCTCTGTTGTAAATGCAGAGTGATGGGTGCAGTGTGGCTGGCTGTAGCATCATGCTTTCTGATGGCTTTTCAGGCCTTGGACTGTGGGAGGCCCAGCAATGCTAAATTTTAAACACCTAAGCCTATTACTTGCCTCATTTGCTTTCCCCTCTCAGGCTCTCTATAATTAGACATGAGTTGGTCACTGCTGTACTACTGATCCTAAAAAGGGTTTTAAAAAGAGAGTCTCTGCCACACAGCCCCACAGCTGTGAGGGGAAGGGATCTTGTAGTGCTTTTATACGGGTATAAAGGGTCTCTGCAGTTTCTCTAGAAAAATTATTTTCCTTCTTGTGTTGTGGAACACCCGTGGCTGTCAAACACTAGGGACACGCACTGTGTCCATCAACCGGGTTGTACCTGGTAGCTTGTGTCTTTTTGTCAGATTTCTGCTTTATAACACCAGTCATGAGGCAGATCACCTCCTGATTGCAGAAAGTCATTAGCTGCCGTGGCTCATATGTCTGAGGAGAGCAGCCGGAAAGGTGGTAACCTTCCCCAGGGTTTCTGCACACTGAGTACAGAAGATTTCAAGCTGGAGGAGGACTGTGGTGTCCCTCCCCCTTGCCCAGGTAGTGGTGGAGGACCATTCTGAGTACTGTTTAGAGAACCTCCCTCCTCATTACAAAGTCTAGCAGGTTAGGGATGTTTGTCATGAACCTAAATCCCTAGACGCCTGTTGAGAGTGGTCTTATATGAAGATTTAATTTGATCTGGCAGTTTTTAAATTGTCCCAAATCATATCTTCAGGATGCAGGCATGTACCACATAGAAAACCAGGATGAGGCAGTCATTATTTTTGGATTATGTGAACAACAGTCCAGCTCACTTGGGCTTTAAGAGAACATCAGCAGCTTGGACTCGCGTCCCAGCTCAGGCACATTTAATTTGCTTTCACCAGTCTGTGGTTTAGAGACAAAATGAGTAATAGCTCCCAACTGTAGAATAGAGACTTCTGACTCTGCTTACATGACATAAGTATGTGGTGTTGTTTTTTCCTATAGTTTGAAATCAGGCAGCTGAGGGCCCACCTTGCTCAGCAGGATTTGGATCTGGCTGCAGAGAGAGAGGCTGCATTGCAGGTCCCACATGTGCTGAACAAGCAGAGCAGCAAAAGGTACAAGGTGGTACCAACTGAAGATTCAGATGATGAAGCCACTGAGAACATCACTGAGTTGCGACCTCCACGAGGTGAGTGCTGCCTGTGTGCTGCTACCCACTGACACAGCTGATCCCTTGCATAGAGCTACTGATGGCACTCAAATGCCTTCACTCTACCAGTGGATTCATTACTTTCCCTGGAGACTGTATTTTCCCATCTTTGCAAAGAGGCTATGTCTGCTTTGAAGTGGCAGGGGCTGTTGTACTTGGGAACAGATTCTGGACAGAGCCAATAAAATGACTTGGGAAGAAAATGACTCTGATGTACCTTCCCAGTGTCTTCATGATTATATCCTTTAAACACTAAAGAAGCAGCAGCTAAATCGGAATTGGCAAAAGGATAATCACTCAGAGGTAGAAGCAGGGAAAATGAGAAGAATATTGAAAACCAGTTTTGGTCTGTGGCCACTTGCATTTCTGTGCCTTAGAGTGAGCTGTGAGCCTGTAAGCTGTGCAGCTTTTCTTTGCCTAGGGGCTGTGCTCTCACCAGGTTGCTAAAACTTGCCGGTTCTGGCCAGCCCAGCCCAGCTGTGCTTGGGCAGGGCAGCTCTGGTGCCAGAAAAGGAGTGATGTGCTGTGTAGATGGTGAAGAGCAGTCCATCGTCTGTAGCTGTATGTTGAGCAGATGTGTGGTTCCGGAGAGTAGCAACAGTTATTTATTTGGATCCAGTTTTATCACAAAAGTGCTAGACCAGAAGTGATTTTGGAAAAAGCATAGCTCTTTTTCCTGTGATCCCCCAACCCTAATGATGGAGTGCAGAATGTGTGTCTTGATCTTAGTAACATCTGATGTAATGTTGCAGGGGAGACAATGCTTTCTACCTTAGTAGTTCTTCCTTGGACATCTTTGCTTGATTGTCTTGGGAGATGAGCAGTATGTGAATCTATCTGAATTAGAGGTTTACATGGTATCTTTATTTGGGTCAAATTCCTTAGAATTCAAGGCACAGAAATACTTTAATCAAAAGGTTTAAGAGAAAAAGCTGACCAGATATTTTCAAATGTTAATTCTTTCCATTCTCTACACAGTAACGGAAGTGTATAGAATTGATTTTGTTTTTTCCTTTTTATAATATCTAAGTGCTAACCACACTTCAGCCATTAATTATTCCTGATTTGAAATTGTATTTAAAAGCAGACAGTAGAGCAGACTTCCTCCTAAAATGCGTTTCCCCCTTTTCTGTAGTATTTCAGAGGTCTCCCCAGTGGATACGTTATAATTTATGCATGTATTCCTTGAGGGTTACATTTGGAACTGCGGAGTGTTGTACACATTATAAGGAGGTTTGCTGAAAGTTTAGATTCATCTGAAAGTTCTTCTATCTAAGATACTCATTCCAACATCCAGGTTAACACAACTGATCATTAGTTGGATTTCCCTGTAAAATTCTGGCCAGCACATGCAATGAAGTAGATGCACAATCTTCAGGATTGGTTCCTACGTTCAGGAGAAGGCAGTTTCCCCTGGGGAAGGAGTGCCATGAGCCAGCCCTGCCTTTTTTTTCTCCTGTCCACCTCAACTGGGTCATTCTTCTCCAGCTCCCCCAGCAATGTGCTGGCTGTTGCTGCAGCACCTTTCACCATTATCACTTTGGCATGCTGACAGCATTTTCTTCATCTACACTGGTGGCTGATCTGACCAACAAAACATGAGCAAAACCTGAATGTGGTATGTCAGAAAAAAGAAGAGCGTGTCTTAGGTGAGGATGCCTCCGTTTGCAGTGTGGAGGGGCTATATCTGGTATGTGTAGAATACTCCTGAGACATGTCTCTGCAGAGCACAGGTGATCGAACCATTTCCTGTAGGTCATTTCTTTATCCTCCCGCTTCTCACTTCTCACATGCTGTGGTGACACTGACTGTGCTGTCTTCAGGGCTTTCCATGTCACTTGCTCTGCCTGGAACTGGAAGCTACCAGTGTTTTAACTCCTGACTTTTGGGTCAAGGGTTATGTTTTGCAGGTTATCTTCTGTGTCAGACCACATTAGGAATTGCTTTGCATCCATTTTCTCTAAGCTGTGTTTTTCCTCCTTAAAGATTCCTGAATGGTGACTGCAGTTAATCTTTCTGTGTGCCACATGGCATTTGTGAGCTTGAAAAACATCTGCAGTTGCCTATTACACTGACTAGCTGGAGGAGAAATAAGGGACCAAGTTGGTAATACTGTTAAAAGAAAAGCTACAGTTCAAAGCCACAGTTCAGCTGTTAGGCAGAACAGGCTCTGATGTGCTGTTCTCTTACGCGGTGGCAGAACATTAGCCTCACATATAACACCTGAGGGTAAGGTATGGCATGGAAAGCATGTGTTTGTGCCAAACTTAACTTTGTTAGCCTTCAAAAAATCACTGGCTTCAGAGAGCCCTGAATTCTGCCAAACCAGCAAGCTTGACTTGGCTAGAGTACATACTGCATCAGAAAATGGGATATTCCATCTCAAGCTAATCTTATTTCCCCCTTCTGTATTGAACAATGGAAACATTCAGTGCAGAATACTTTACCTCCAAGGGACTATGGAATAAGAAAGCATTGAGACTTTACTCATTTCCCTACCTGGGAGTTTTATGGGATAGTGTATAAGTTAAAGCTCCTCAGGGGCAGCTGTAGCTTGTAGTCTAGTATTTACACTGGATTTTGTGCAAGCATTTACTACAGCATTCACTAAAGTTAGTCAGGTAACCACAACATCACATGGTACACACAATGTCTCAGGGGATTTGTGCCGAGAGGCACACGCTGTGGCCTGCACCAGGAGAGCTGTGTGTGCTGGCTAATTTGGTAGCTTTCAGTACATGTTTTCACCCAGCTTTTCTTTCTGCAGATCTCTTTGTATCTGAAGTGCCTTAATTGCTGGCACAAGACTGGGAAAGGCAAGAGCTCTAATCAGATGGTCACCAGGCTCTGAAAGTGTCCCATAACTGCCCAGCTAGTATTTCATGCCTTTTCTTGAAGGACCCCTTCTCCAGGCCGCTCAGTGGTAAGCTGCTGGAGGCCTGGGCAGCCCTGTGCTAATTCTCTGAATAATGAGCTGATTGCTGCCTCACACGCTTCTATCTGCCCAGATCAGTTCACCAAGAGACCTCCTAACATCGTGGTCGTAACTCTGGAAAACGTAATGGATACATGGTATTTTCTAATTAATTTGGCTAAGAAGTGGGGAAGTTTTGAACGGAGGTTTTCTTTGTCTTGCCAAAAAATTGATCTCCGGAGTAGTCAAATATGAAGGCTGAAACACGGGCTTTCAGCGTGCAAGTCAAAGGGTACCATTATCAACAGCAGAAAGCTGATGGACTCAAGAGAAGGGCATGACTCTAGGAGCTATAAACCCAGGGTAGAGCTGTGACATCTGCTGCGCTGTGAGCACTTCACTTAGCTTCTCTGCCTCAGTTTGTAAAGAGCTTAGGGTAAAAGCTGTTATATGCGAATGCACAGCTGCATCCCTAATGGTTTTCAGGACCATTGTGGTCAGCCTTTCCCTAAGAGAAAGGGAAGTATCCTAAGTGCTGTCATCTCCTTTCTTCTTCCCAGAGACAGTTACCATTTGACATAATGGGAAATATTACCCTATCTGTTGATCTCTAAATTATAAAGGAGGTTTTTTTTCTCTTGCTGTCTTCCTGCCTCATGCAGCCTGTAACTGGTCATGGTCAGAGTAACAGCTAATGTTTTTTGCTCCTGTACAAATCATTTTTAGTGTTTGGTATACAAAGTCTCAGGCTTCAGGGAATGCCAGGTTCACAGTGCCCCATATTGCCATTAATACTTCCTCCCAAAATTTATTATTCTTTAATCTCTCCCATAATATATGAATTAGAGTCTCTAGTGGAAATCCCTCATTTTCCTGCATATATCATTCCAGGTTTTGAAACTCTACAGTGCTGCCATAGTTTAAGATTAATATAACCACCCTTCTACTCCTTTGAGCAAGAGCCGGATTCTAGCTCCGTTACATCGGATTGCAGAAAGCTTATTTTAGCTATCCTGAGTCAAATTTCCATTTTTATGGAGTTAGCAGTAAGTCTGTTGCTTTGGAGGACTGCTGCAATTTATGATCGTGCTTGGAGAAAAGTAAAGCTTGCTCTCCCCAGTGGTACCCACCATTTTGGAATGGAAGGATGATATCAGGAGGGGATCATGAAAAGTTTTGGAGTTTCAGAGGCTTCTCTTATGATTATTCATAAGCTGTCTGGGAAGACAGAGCACAGCGCTGGAGGGTTTTTGTCAGTTGTTGCCTGCAGGGCAGTCTGAGCTGGTTGAACACTTCTAAAATCTCAGCCAGTTTCTTTGGTGATCATCTGTTAATGCTCGGCGAGCCCTGTTACTGCACAACAATAGATAAAAGTAGTTTATGGTTATTTTCAAATGTTGAAGTGTATCTACTTTGAAGCCTACTCCTGGAAATGGTTATGTCTTAAGTGCACTCCACTTTCTGGTTAAACTCCATGGATCTGTGGAAGAGTGAGGATTTGGCTTTTTCTAGGTGGGTGCCTCTTGCAGGCTTTGTGGTTCTGCACTGATCATTCAGGCAGAAATCAAAGGAATTAAATGTTAAGCAACACTTCCATCAATGTGTGTGCAGTTAGTGAAGCTGGGCTCTTGAATTTCATATTCACCAAATGGGTGGGGTAGAAACTTTTGAGTTCCAGAAGTGGTGAGCGTACAGTCACGTGTGTGAGGGAGAAGTTGTCTCCCACCATTAATGTAAAGAGGTGTGAAGACGTGGCTGACAGGTAAAGGAACACAGATCTGGGACGTGTTCCGCTGTCCCAAGTATGCCGCTTCTTTCACAATAACCCCTTTCATAAGCAGATCGTGCTCCGTGTGACAGCAGGGAGGTTTTCTGCCCCCAGCCTCCATCCCAACACTGCTCCAGCCTCTCCCTTTTCTAAACTTTTAGAAATCTTTTCCTAATTCCCAGTCTACATTTATTTAATGCCGATTTGTAACAATTGGTCTTCGAATCCTTTCACTTAAATTGTTCTTCTCTTTCCCTGATGTTTACCCAACAAATTGTTGTTTTGTTGGTAGCCATA